GCTTTGTTTGGCCAAAAATCAATTCGGATGTTAAACGTTGCACACGTAACTGCCTACAATGCCAACGCAGCAAAATCCAAAACACACTATCAGCCCGATCGGGGAATTCCCTATTCCCGACAAACGTTTTCAACATATTCATTTGGACTTATTTGGGCCACTGCCTCCGTCAAACTCCTTCACCCACATTCTCACTGCGGTGGACAGGTTCACAAGATGGGCCATAGCCTGCCCTATAAAATACACTTCGGCAGAAACGGTCGCTTTAGTCTTCCTTGACCGCTGGATATCTAACTACGGAGTACCTTACATCGTCACTACCGACCGTGGTCCCCAGTTTCAGTCTATTTTATTTCAGGAATTTACAAGACTTCTGGGCGTGAACCACTTCAAAACAACAGCCTACCACCCAGCAGCTAACGGCTTGTTCGAAAGATTTCACCGCCAATTGAAAAACTCGCTGATGGCACAAAATGATACGACAAAATGGAGTGACGCATTACCACTTGTACTCCTGGATATCCGTTCAACTATAAAGGAAGATATAGGTTGTACAGCCGCTGAGCTAGTTTATGGTACAACACTTACATTACCAGGCCAACTAGTGGACCCAAACACTTCAACACCAACGGACCCAAGTCGTTTTGCTAGCCAACTGCTGCAGACCATGCAACAGATCAAAGCCATAACGCCTCGTGAACATAACAATCGAACACAACTCGACAGAAATCTAGAAACATGCAAGTTTGTCTTTGTTCGAGTTGATGCCGTCAAAAAACCATTGAAACAACTATACGAAGGTCCATATAAAGTAATTAAACGCACACAAAAATACTTCATCATCAGCAGAGATGGCAACAAGCAGACTATTTCTATAGACAGAATCAAACCTGCTTTCTATGAATCTACTCAAGTCAAAGAAGACAACGCTGTTGACAATCAACCCCTTTCACCAGTGACTGAAAAACCAGTGGAGGATAAAAAACCTAATACTAAGCCTTCTTGTTTAACACGCTCCGACAGATCTATAAACAAACCCAAGCGTTATGTCCATTTCGTCGATTTAAAAAATTATTTTTTCCTTTACACAGTGTACTTAATCACACTTTTCCACAATTATTCGTTTTGTCACATTTATTATATATATATATATATATATATATATATATATATATATATATATATATAATTTTTGTTACTGTATTAAACGAGTAAACTCTATCTAATTACTCATTTATTGTACACAAAAATAAACAGTTCAATTTCTTTTTGAGTCATGAGCAATTTTGCACATTATTATTATCATTGTTAGCCAACCAAGACATTAAATGACAGTCTCTTCATTTTTTTTGTGTGTGTGTTTATTATACTATGCTACATCTCTGCTACATGTCACACTCATCTCCACATTTTTGTTAGCTATAACTGTAAATATTATTTTTGTATACATGTATATATCTAATCCTTACATTTTTTTGTTATTATAATCAGTGTTACCTCCGGACACTCTAGGAGGAGCTATGTGGAGATAGACCTGACAACCTTATTTTGTAAATAGTTTTCAATGTTATTTGTATTTGTTTTGTCAATTTCTCACTGTATGTACATTCATCATTAAATGACTGTACGTGTTGTTTTAGTCAATGACCTTGAAGACACTTTCCGTTGTGATTCCAACATAGCGTGACATATTCTTGCTGGCTAACAAATACATTACTACTCACACATCCCTCGTTCTGTTTTCATTCGAGACTGAGTTAACTTAGGTCTAAGACAAATATTATTTACATTCATAGACTGAGAAAGTGAATACACCATATCTTACTTTGGATTACACTACTGGGGAGATCATCGATACGTTTGGAATTACTAAGCATCTATAATTGTGGATTTATTGTACCAGATCAAAGCCGAACACGCATCATTTTGGGTGAACTTAAGTAAAGTCCCATTTTTATTGTATTTGTAACATTTAACTTGTATATATTAATATTACTATTGATTGTTATTAACTTTGTTGATATCTTTTACTTTTATATACTGTCTGGTCCATCACATTAGTACGTTTATCAGAGGAACATTTCAGTACACGCTGTTGGTGTTCACTTCCTGACACCATTAAATGTATTAGTTTTCTTATTTGCTTTATTTATTTAAACACATAAACATTGGTACCAAGAGGCGGTAAACACATATGTTACACACACAAACATTGAGGTTGTGAATAGGTAGAGAATATAAAGTGCATGTAATAAACGGAAGAACAACAATGAGCAGAAATTATTGTACGAGAGTGAAATAATAATATTGAGATAAACAGTTTAGTGAAGAAAAATACAATCAAAAAGAATTCTTTCATGAGGAAAGTATGAAAAAGTTACCATGGGGTCGCTACTGACTCCTATTTTGCGCCATATTTGATAACATTTCAGGCCACTACGTTGTACCGACTCCAGAACCTCAACCAGGGAATCGTGAAGGTCTAAAAGAACCTATTCCTGTAAAGCTTCATCTCATACCATGACACTATGTCATACACTGATGATCTCTCCGCATTTTCCAACCGGTTTCAAATTCGGCAAATTACGCACGGCTGGAATTCTGTGGGACGACATTCGTAGTAGTTCGAGAGACCTCAGTAGGTGCTTTAAGATGGTGACACCTATTTAATTATCATTACTGTATCCAAACAGACTTTACCAGACCTATGTATTACTAACATGGCGATGTCACTGAATGTCAATGGTCTGTCGGTGACAACGATGATCAAACATAGAGAGTCATCAAGCATCCTCAACCCGGAGAGGTCAGGTTTCATGAGAAAAACTTCTCTCAAGGCTCAGTATAGGTCCAACTTTCTACGGATAGACTGACATCATGAAGGCGCGAGAGATGGTGCAGATTTTCACGAACCACTCTAGATTTCACTATACGTTAATTGATCTCATCACACATGACGCCACGAGCACTTACTCAACCACCCAGATACACTAATATCTCGACTACTTTTACCTGCTCACTATCCAGAGTGAGGGCATGTTCATGGTCCTGTCAGAATTGTGGAAGAGTCTTGCACTTGGACAGCACATAGGACATTCCATACCTAGGACGCCGATTGACAACTGATTATATGCTGATGGCATGGCTTAGGTATCACCACACATATTCAAGGTCGAAAATTCCTTCTACATACAACAGGTCCACATCACCACTGCCTACATCCATCAAATCTGTTGCTAGAATGTCATCGATGAAAAGTTTGAAGAGGGATGGTGAGATTGTGCAAATCAGTCTAAACCCACTGCTTGGGTTTACAAGTGGAGAGAAGCGCTTGTATGTACTCATTCTGCTTGATGTGTTTGTATACAGGGCTTTTTCAGGCACACCCTCTGTAGTGGCTGGTACTCTGACAAGCGTGGATTAGTATGTGTTACTGGTTAGAGAGTTGTCAAATTCTGAATACCTGTGGCATCTTCAATACTTAAGTTGGCGGCTTGTATACTTCAATAGTACTGAAGATGACACAGGTATTCAGTGTTTGACAACGCTTCTACCAGTAACACCTAATATGATTTGTACCCACCGAGAGAAATCAAAAGACAGAGTCGAGGAGATCGGAAGAGTGTATTTGGTGATTACCAAAATATCGGAATTCTCTGATCTAATCTGGCTAGCGATTGCGGTTGATGTTGAGCACGGCGTAACCACACGTGATCTGGTGCGGATGCCTGACCGCGCGCCTTCAGCTAGATGAGTCCACTAAAACATATGGTCAGCATCCAATGTCGAAACCTACAGGGCTATTTATTTTGGGGATTTATTTACCGCTACAGTATCAGCATGCAAACTAACTAAAGTTAGATATAAAGCTGCGAAACCTTCTGCAATAGAAAGTTTCTAAAAACAGGCTTGTTGAACGAATCGCAGGAGTCCGTAAAATTGAAGAACACTACGATTGTTTGTCTGTAATAAGTATGGCGAAGTTCTAACATTTGGTGGAAGGTCAAGACAGGATCAATACATCCTCAACCAGAAAGAAAACAAGTTTGCACCTAGCAACCTGAGAGGTTTGAGTCTGTGGCCAGTAATGCGATGTCTGTCGAACACACGTTTTGCAGAAGAACTGTTAACTGGTGGTAAAACTCATCATTCATCGCGTCTGGTCTGCAATCTATGGGAATTTTGAGAGGACAGTGAATGACATTGTTTTTCAAAAGAATATCTTCGCATTTCGATGTAATTTTCTAATCTCATATTACATTATTGACTGTTAATGGGCATCCAACCAATGAATGATTAATTGTCTCTAGTGCTTAGTACGACATAGTATCCAGTAAAACCAGACAAATATGGCACAGTGTTCGCTGACGAACTCTTAACACTCTAATTGTAATAATGGTCCAATTGCTTTGCCTATTCGTGCTTTCACAACTGCATCACGCTCCTCTTGTTTATCAATCATACTCTCTAGATATGTAAATGTCTCCACCTCTTCCAGAGCTTCTCCACTAAGAGTGATTAGGTTGGTTCTCTCTGTGTTGTATTTAAAGATCTTGCTTCTCCCGTTATATAAGTTGAGGCCTGTCGGTGTAGTCAGCTGCTACACTAACTGTCTCCACCTGTATTTGTCGTTCTGCACGGGGTAGAACAACTAGGTTCTAATCGTCTCCAAATCGTCTCTCTTCATCAAATAAAATCAAAGAGAAACGTGAAATCATTGTTGCACGAACTAGATTAAGTTGTCGATAGCAATTTAATGTACATACACACTCGTAGATAAGTCTTTTGTTACATTCTAAATATGTTTATAGATGACCGGATCAAGGCATATAGCACAGACTTCACCCCGAGAACAGAACAAAAACATTGGTGATGTCTAATGTAGTATATCAAACAGAAGTTGGTTCAGTGATCCTTTAATATGTTGATAATATGTTGTATTCTTTTCGTATAAATGACTCTTAGTTTTTTATCAATTTGTTAAAATCAACCTCTATCCCTTTCTCCTAAAGAGTAGAGCATATTCGAAACTTGCGGAACGAGTATGTACGTGTTTTATATTTGTGAACAAATATTAATTACTTCAGTTCCCCACTTGACTAACGTTTCTGTGTTCATTTACTGGTTTCAAGTTTATTGTCGTATAACTAAGCATTATTACATAATTTCATACTCAGGCTCTGACATAGTCATAAATGCTTCGACAATTAATGTCTCTGTGGCATTGTGACACTGTCTTTTCCTCAGTGTTCTCTGTTATTCCTACATCCGTTTTATTTTGCATCAGTCGGTCCTCAACAAACTAGCTGTTCGTCACTTCAAAGCAAATTTACCCAACCTCCATATTTCGGGGAAGCCGCCATAGAAAGTTTTGAGAAAATGGCACAAATTCTCGAAAATTTAACGTTCTTCCCCAGTTTTCTCTAGAATCTTCGGAAACCTGTTTACGTTCTTCGGTCCAATCCCATTTCTTTATCGCATTTTAAAGACATTGTGCGGTATTTCTAGTTATCCCAAATACCGCATTCGGAAATCTGCAAAATTACCGATTAAAAAGGAATGCCTAGCGATTTAATAATAGTTACCTTAAAGTTCCCACACATCTATTCCATTTTTTAATAGTTTACTTCGCATAATTAACACCTCAAATCCATTAAACCACAGTTGGTAACAATTCTTAGCAATCGCTCTTGCATTTTTGGATAAGTACATCAGGTTGATGCTGAACTTCCATTCGGTGTTCTACAAAACTAAAAAAAGTTTCTCTTCAGCATTATAAACAGTCTCAGAACAGCCGAATTGCTTATAGTAAACAAACAAATGTCATAGCAGTCATCCAACGTATGAATCTATAATGCCATGTGAAAGGTTGATTATGTACTAATGGTATAGCATTAATGTTTTCTGAATAAAAAACTGAAGTCTGCTAATACCTGCGAAGTCAGCCGAAAATAAAATGGACAAGAAATAATTTCAGTATAAATGTTTACCAGAAACTAACATAAAAACAGAAACCGGTATTTAATCACAGGTCTAAAGTGCATTTAGCCCATCCTTTCTTTGTATCTCCATCCACGCTTACTTACTTTATCTCTTGCGTTGTGTAAGAAAACATGGCTCGCAACATCCATGGCTTGTATTATTTGGTTCTCTGGATAGGTTGCACTTCGAAAAAGTGAACACAGAACATCTATGAATATATTAAAACTGATGTGAACTTACTTTGAATCGTCCTGTAGAATATGTAATTGCCAATACCTGTTTTACTTTTAGCCCCGAGTAAGGTATAAGTAATTGCTATTCCCGGCGTCAGCACGTAAGCTATACGTGATCTGGTTGATTTCCTATGATCATTACATATGATCTCGGATAATCTGGTCACTTGAAATTTTATAAACACCTGCCACTACTTATGGACTGGTCACGAAACTTGTGCTCTTCTAAAGCAACTCCAAGCACGCATTTCCTCACGTGTTTTCAGTGGGAATGAGAAATTTGAAGTATCTGCTGTCGTTGTGCCTGTCCGTCACACCCATGGATGAGCTTATGTACGCAGTCAGTTTGTCAATCTTGCTAAACATCGCACCAAGTGTGAGGGCAACATTGAAAAATCAAGGAATATCGTGAGAGTTTACTTTGTTCCCTCTTAAGTATAATTCAAATCACTCTGCATATACTATACTCATTTACAGATTCCACATAGACCTATTTTTGATGAACTGTTACCATTTATCCCTTTCATGCAACCAACACTACAATTTAATACTGATTAATAGGATAAGTTTGTCGTATACACTTATATTAAGTAGAGAAAATGCCAATAAAAATACAAATAGTTATGTGAATTAGATGACGTCGACCATAATCGCGGTCGATATTAAGTTTCAAATATAGGTTCAATTAATGTTACTGAAACCACTAATACTTCGACTTCTTTGAATCCCACCACCGCTGAGGAAGTGTCGAGTGCTTTAAGTTCTTTTGACGTCAATGGTTAACATCTTTTACTTTCAGTTCCAGAACGTTTCAATGGTGACTCGCATAAGTGCTCAACCATTGCAGAAGACAATATAGTCGGGCGTATTGGTCAATTCACTTGAAATACCGGGCGATAGGTGTGCTGAATAGAAATATGAATAGGCAGGTTAAGTGGTACAGTGATCTGGAGTTCTGTTAGAGGTATAAATGCGGTTGTCACTCCCCGGTTGCCCACATCGTGGAAGGGCTCTTCTAGAGGTACGTGAAAAGGAAATTGGATTAGAGGTAGTCTTAGTGACCTAAGAGCGTGACCGCAGTGTCCAAGGAACAAATGCTCAAGACCGGTTACACACGATCTTTTTGTGTTAGCTCCGTACTTGTTGGGACCTTACCGCTGGAGATGGATATCCGTTGGATAAGGCGAGGTGTGCATTTTTACGGTCGATCTTTCCTAACCCCATCCTTCCTTGTGGTAACGTAGCATTGCTGGTTGTCTGAGGGGAACACCTTACTACCGTCACCTCTCTGTACAGTCAGCAGTACGACTTCGCCCTCGGAGCTTGGGTTTGCTGCTTTCAATCTCATCGCATGTTAGGGCCTTGACGAACGATTGTTCCAACAATTATAACTCGACCGGTTCAGTACGATAGGCAAGCTTGATCACCACGTCAAGGTAGCAGCAACGGTCAGGGATTAAGTGATTAGCTTAACCATGGAAATTCCAATTGTTGGCTTGAGCCGTCTCGGGGATACTCATTCTCAAATGAGAACTTGTTCAACACATCACTGGTTGTAAACGGGTGGTGGTTCGTAGTCGTTCTTCGTAGCTGTAACACATTAATTCTCCCCTAATTTTTGGACGTAATTTTCAACTTTTTATCTTTTCTCATATTGTTTTGACTGAGAGTTATGTCTAGATTTTCATTGGTGTTAATATCAGTCCCTCTTGCTTCTCATCCCATCAATTTTCCCTCAATTTTGTGAGATATCCACTCATCGAAGGGTGCGATTATTGGACAATTCACTATCTATCGCTGTAGTTAGGTATAACTTTCAATGAACATACATGGATTACTAGTGTTTTTAACCTTTTAAGAATTTCGTGTGACTAGAAGCCTGGTCATCCTAATTGAATAGTTCTATTAGTGTTCCAAACTAGAGTGCTATTTAACAACAATGTGCTCCGGTCACCATCCATTAAAATAAAACAAACCATCTGTTTAGAATTCTGTTATTTGACCATTCAAAGAACTTGTGAAATTAAACTCAGGTGTCATGTGTTTTCTGTTGACATTTATATAGCGTTTCCCAAGTTCATTAAAATGTAGTCTAGATTATTATCTAAATAATTACTAACGAATTGTGCTTTGTATGAAGGTGGCCTCTTCATGTTTCGCATGAAGCATTCAAGCTGTTGTGTGGTCCGATCACTTTTTATATCAATATGAATCATGATGAGTTTAAGTTTAAGATTATACAGTCTTCGACAATAAAAAATTTGAAGTGCTTGTCGTCAGGACTATTTTTCTACAAAATTGTTAATTGATTAAATTTTAAATGCCGTTAAATGTCAGCAACCAAAAACAGCTTGCATATGATATTTTACTTTTTTAGAAAAGCTCAGCTGTTTTATCAAAGTAGTCGTTGCGTTGGTTGACAATGACGTTTCACACAGGGCGTCTGTTGGTCGGTCGTGAAAAGGAGCAACAGTTTTTGTTTTCGTTAATGTGTAAAGTACGTATGAGCTTTGATTGGATGTCGAAGATAATTACAGAAAAACCCTTTATCCACATGCTTTGTTATCACAGGCCCTCCGGGTTGTGGCAAATCAGTTTTAGTGTCCTCAACATTCGAACTTCTGGAAGAGTCTTGTGGAATGCTATGGGTGTTAATTAGCTGCCTAGAAAGCTTTGTGGGGACCCAAGGGACATGTGGAGCTACTTCATCAAGATATTTTCTTGAATTGATTTTACAGTCGATTAAGTGTCGTTATCTGCCCGAAGCTGATTTATGTATTAGTTGTGAAGATACCTCCAGTTTCATAGATAACTTATGTCAAATTTTGCTAGCTATTGGGGCTAGAAATACTCATGACCAAAGTAAGTTTAGATAAACGGTTGTTTTCTATATTTTCAGCTTGTGTGGGGTTAATTTTCGAACAGGCTGAGAGACTGTGCGATGGAGAATCACTAGTCCTTCCCTTAATCATCGGTCTTGGAGCTTCTGTAAATGAAAAGCTAAATCAATTAGGCAGTCTTCACACACCACTGTTGTTCACTGTCCTGGTAACTAGGTTGCCATGGGAGAAGTTTAATTTCGGGACATTCAGTTTTGAACCTTATGTTATCTCTGTTGAAAGTTATTCTCGTGACCAGTTGGCAAGATTACTTACATCTTTGTTACCGTCTAATGCATCTGAATCTCGTTTCAACAGGTTTGTTGACTTACTATTAACAGTTTGCTTCCCTGTTTGTCGTAACGCTGGTGAACTCATTCATTTAATGAATGTAAGTACCTTTAATTTTAACCTTTACAACAATAGATAAACTGGAATGCTTTTGATGAACCTGTAAATAAAGGCTTGGTTGCCGCGGACGATGAATGGGGTCAGTGGAAGTTGGCTCAACCATATCTCAAAAAGTCTTTGTCTACTCTGTATTTGCGTCATTATGGGGATTCAAATTTAGATTCTCTGTCTACGAAAAACGCTGGGAGACAAAATTTTTTGGAATTACCTTATTTGACTAGATTTTTACTTATTGCTGCATTTTTGGCTTCACATAATCCCCGCTCATCGGACAAAAAGCTCCTGACAAAGGTGACTACAGATTTTAGTTTTCGTCGTAGAAAATTTAATTCAAAATGTTTGACCTGTCCTAAATTTCTTTATTAGTACTTCAAAGATTTCCTAAGCACTTTCATTTACAAATCCTATTTCCTGACCCACATATATACAGCTTTATTCGCTTCCTTTTTTACTATTCTATTTAGAACTCCGGACGTTTAAGTATCCGTAAAAAGAAACAGGAAAAGGAAGTATACAAGGTGAGTTATTATTCTTCGCTAATTCATTACTAACGCCAACAACATTATTGTTGGTTTGCATAATTGTGATAGTATTTTGAAAAGTAGTTCTCACGATCACTAATGTGTATGTCATGCAGATGGATAGTTTATCAGTCAGTTCACCGTTTATTTATGGGTACATCAAGCACCATCGTTTCTCCGTAGACAGATGTAGAGGTCATAAAAGATATCAACCTTAACAAATGCACTCTGACTTCATGGATTGATGATGTCAACCGATGTGGTTATCAATAATATTTGAACGATTATCCAATCAATTTTTTTACAATCACAAATGAATATTGATATACTAATCTCCATGTTAACTTAGTCATAAAGATTTAAATTCACTAAACGATACTCCAAGTTACTTTGATCTGTGCTGCGAAATGTATTGGAGCTCTCAATGTACAAACCTTATCAAACTAGGCAAAACTTTTGGTTACATAAGCGCTATGAACTCGCATAAGTTACAATACAGTCGTACATGATGGACAGCTTACAATTCCATTCCACGTGGAAACTGATGTTAGAGAGAGCTGCTTACTATCACCACCTGTTTTTGCTGTTCGACTGGAATATGAAAGCCTCCACATCTGGGGGAAATCACGGAATAAAATGGACGGCTTGTGTGCAGCTAGACGACTCCATAGATGACCTAGCTGTTCTATCCCATGCACAACGACAAATACAGGTGGAGACAGTTAGTGTAGCAGCTGACTACACCGACAGGCCTCAACTTATATAACGGGAGAAGCAAGATCTTTAAATACAACACAGAGAGAACCAACCTAATCACTCTTAGTGGAGAAGCTCTGGAAGAGGTGGAGACATTTACATATCTAGAGAGTATGATTGATAAACAAGAGGAGCGTGATGCAGTTGTGAAAGCACGAATAGGCAAAGCAATGGGAACATTCCTACAACTAAAGAGTATATGAAACTCAAAACAACCATGCGCCAACACGAAAGTCAGAATCTTCTATACAACCATCAAAACAGCACCATTGTACGGAAAACTACAAACATCATCTAAAAGGTATAGGTAGTTATGAACAGTAATCTGCACAAGATACTCCAGATCCGTTGACCAGACATCAGCAATAACCTATAGTGTTAGAGAACAGACCAACCTCCGGTCGATGAGGAGATCAAGAAAAGTCATTGGAGGTGTATAGGATGCACATTGCGAAAATCATTAAACTGGATCACGAGACAAGCCATAACTTGAAATCCTCATTGCAAAAAGAATAGACGAAGGCCAAAGAACCCATTGTGGCGGTGATTAGAGGCAGGCATCAAAAGAGTGAATAGCACTTGGAAACAACTGAAAAGAAGTGTATAAGACACAGTAAGTTGGAGATGTATGGTCGGTGGGCTGCGCTTTACGAGGGGCTACAGGCATAAGTAAGTATTTACGTCATTATTTTCATCCCAAGCCCCCCACGAAATAAAAATTCACTTATTATCTGCAAAACGACTCGTTAATTGTTAAACATTTTCATTCGACTAATGATAAATGGATACACTTATATTATTATTACTGCATTTGACTTGATTTTTAACGTGTCACATTTATCTATAAAATGAGCATCATTGTCATGAAGGAAGTTTAAAGATGTGTTGCTTTGTATTTCTTAGACACAAGCAGAGTTTACTGGCCCTCGAATCTTCACCCTAGATCGCTTGTTGGCAATATTCTATGTCCTAGTACAAAATGAATTTGCAAAAGTACCATGCACAAGTATTTTAATGAGTCAGATTGCCTGTTTAACAGCCTGTGGTCTTTTATCGCCAAGTTCACAGGCTTTGTCTGTTGGGAATTCATCTACTACTGGATTGAGTACAACAAATAGTTCGGTTAACGCTATATCTGATTTAGACCCTTTGGCTAACCCTAAATATCGTTGCTTGATAAGTTTAGAAATTGCTAAAAGTATAGCACAGTCGGTTGACTTTGATTTGTTATCTCATCTTACAGAGAATTATAACTCGTGAAAAATATACATTTACTGATTTATTTATTTTTGTATCGAGATTCTTTGTATTTTTGTGTTTGTATATATTATTCTCATAGTTTACAGATAATTTGACGTATGTTCTATAAATTACTTAACTTTATGATAACATTTGTTCCTAATTTACTTGATCTGATGTAAGCAATTCAGTTTCTACAGATGGGACTAGTAGTAGTAACCCGAGGAATTATTTTTTTGTCATCCGGCTTATGATTGAAAAATTTCTACCCAGTCTATATTACTGGTGGTGATATATTTAACATGAACTTTTCCAGTGTAAGTTTACTGACCCGGAGTCAATCAAAGTGATAACTAAATCCTACTAGAAGAATTTAAGGTAAACAGTGAATGAACTGACTTTTCGTTATACACAATAGCTCTCAATGACACTAGTTCTGAAAGCCACATATATACCTAAAGGCAAGTACTTTACTTTTTCGGATAGGCATATATAATAGTACTAAGTCTATAAATAAATATATTTTTCTAATGCTATTCTAATCGCGTGAAATACAATAACATTACTTCAAGGTCTTCCTGTGGAGTAGATAAAATTCTTTGTTCAGTTTCACTGGGAATCGCACAAGTAACTCCAGCTGATTATGCATTCGAACATAGTCTATAAATATTTGTTTTGCGCATTGCTACAGCTCTGATAAGGTGAAACTTTCAGCAGTGGCGATTGACTGAGGGATTACATGAACTACTGAAAAACAAGCCAACATTCCAGTCACTTAATATAGAGGTACAGGGAAACTCGTTTTCAATGTACCTCCTTTCAGTTATGAATTCTGTGAGGAATATTTTGTTGCTAACCTGCCCAAAACAACTTGATAGATTACCTCAAGGTACCATCTTATTGCCCGTTTGATCAAGCCGTCAAGATAATCAAATTCAGTGGTTATATTTCCATTATGGATAGTAATTATTACGCAGAACTTGGTCCAGGATAAAAGCATATCGAAAAAGTAAAATTGTAAATACGAAAACAGTATGGTTGACAGAATTTATCTCTAAGGTTCTACCGGTGTTTCTTCATGAGTAGTCTAATAATAGAAACATCAAGAAGATCTGTTTCGTCTTTAGTATTTGTTATAACGCAACATACACTAAAAGTGGTAATTGACTTTTCAAGTTATTACTATCATTATTTTGTCCCCAGTCTATTGTTTAGTCTCTTTTATTTACGGTACTTTCTGGCTTGTTTGTGTATAATTGCTATTTTTGTATAGTGTGATGCGGTCCGGTATGCCTGGATATAAGTCGTCTTTTTGAAATATAAATATAGTAGAGGCTGATTGATTTTTCTGAACTCAAGACAGGACATGAAGAGGAGCTTGCGAGAAGCAGGTCAGTCGGAGCTTAGCTTTTGACTCAAGGTCAGTCGTGGTGATCCGGGATGTAACTGGCAAATCAAATATATTAAGGTTGAAGTTAGACATTAACACCGTTGGATGCCGGCTCAGTGGTCTAATGGTTAAGTGCTCGCGCGCGAAGCCAGTGGGTCCTGGGTTCGAGCCCCGGGTGGTGCGGGGTCGTGGATGCGCATTGCTGAGGAGTCCCATACTAGGACGAAACGGCCGTCCAGTGCTTCCAGGTTTTCAATGGTGGTCTAGCTTCAACTGACTCATGATTTCAATCTGTGTAAATAATAGACGCGAAGTAGACTAAAATAGAATCAGAATTCTGATTGATGACTTGGCACGTGGTATTTGTCAACGGCCACATGACAACAGTAACCGTTTCTGACTCGTTGACCTCAAAACCAGTTTACGTCTAGTACATCATTCCTAAAAAAATCCTGTCATAGTTTTGTTGGGTTGATCTAGCTATAGTTGGAACCAAATCTTGAATAATTATGCTTTTCCTAGCACTGGCATGAAATTGTTAATAGAAGCAACGTTAGTGAGCTAATAATCTTTTGATCATTCGAATCAATGAGGCAAGCAACTTCCTGTTATAACCTGTATTAATGCTTCGATATTTTAATGGAAATTAGTATGCCTATTACAGATCAAATTAAGGGATATTAATAGTATTTGTTGGTTAAAGTCGTTCGAACTAGAAGACGCACTTCGTCACGGTGACGGCTAAGGCGTTCCCAACGCGTGTGTTTTTATTGTGTTAGTTTGTCTCACTAGACGAGAGCTTCACGGAGCACTGACCTATTGCCTAAGACGCTCGACTTTCGTTTGCTAAGCCCCAGGTATAATCATCTCTGAACAGTATCATTATCCCTGGCACTTACAATGTGGTTCGTACATAAATACTTCATGAATAAATTAGTTGAAAGTTTTCTTGACGTTAACTTGGGGCTCACAATAATTACTTCGAACTGAATAAACTCTTACCGTTAAGTATTTAAGTGACAGCGATAGCAATATAAAGTTCTAGGTTTCATACCTATTTCCCTAGCGTACGTGTATCCATGACTTAATTCACTACTAAAACCAATTTTGTTGAAATTCAGGTGCAATGTGATCACCCATTTGAGAGTAAAAGAGCTGTTTTATGTGCATGATTCGATATTTCAGTTTATTCTCAAATTTCACATGTATCTCATTGAATTTGAATGTAACATCAAATGATACTGTAAATTTTTGTCCTGACTTTTTTAAAGATGTTCTTTGTCATTTTTTCATGTACTTGGTTGGAGCATTGCATCTACTTCTTCAGCAGTTGATGAGAGAACAAACTCATACTGCTCCTAAAATAAAACAAGTACGAAGTATTGTGATCAAATGAAAGCTCCTAGTCATACTTAAGTAGTAAAATAATCGTTCTCCATACGATCACGTTAGCACATTTATGTGCTTGTCCCACACAACATTCAGGTAATATAATCCAAACTGAATCATAGAACATTTCATTCATAATAATATAGGGACGATTTAGTTTAAATCAAGTCGCGATCTGTTTTCTAATTTGCAGTGTCATATGAATGCATGAAACGGGTTTCTTCACCCTGTATATTGAATCTGGAGGCTGTTCGGGCAGTTAAATTTCGTAATATCAATCATTCGTGGAAATCAAAGAATTTCTATATCACAAAATCTGTTCCAGAATTTGCCATCAATTAGTAAGCAAGTAAAATTTCGACTGTGCATAAGAAGGTAATAAAATGTCTACATTAATATGGAAATCATACTACTAAAAGATACAAGTAGTTGGATGCAACGCATACTGGTCCTAAGGTTTCGATAAAAAATCAGATCACAGACTGTTAACATTCTTGATTGTTTCATGTCGTAAGGACAAGTTATCTTGCCTTCACATAAGTATAATTCTCGACATCGGCTGTACATCACAAAATATAGTAACAATTTTAGATGGATAACCAAACGGTTGCACTGGTTCATTCAAGAGAATTATCATGATCTGAGAAGGTATATTCGGTCTCGATATGGTTAACTGTTTCAGGTACGTTTCTTCTGGGATACTTGCTTACAAACAATAGAAACAGCCGCATAGTTTCCTGTTCATTGACTAATGATAGAACTAGCTCGTCACCTAAAATTGCACGTTTGCTAAAATAAAAAACGATAACTTCAACAGAAAGGAGCTTTTTGTATTCAAAATAGCTAATAAAAACTACAGATCCATGCACGCACCATCTAACTAAATCTATATCACTTAAATGGTAATATCTCATTATTTTTTCATATTCTTAGAATCTAAAACCTAAGAATTGGAATGAACAAGAACTGAATTGGACAATATTTAGTCCCTTTTCTTTTACAAAAAAATAAGAAACTTACCAATGTTTTAATCATATCTGGCCTTTGATCTCTTAGATGTTCCAGTGAAGCAGCTATGTCAATTTCTTTAACACCTTTAGTGATGCGATTTAGGACCAAATCTAATAAAATATATGCACCTGTTCGTCCGCATCCATCACTAAGAATATAATTAATAGAAATTCCATCTGTAAGCCAGTAGGAATTGTAAATTTATTTTGTTTAAAAATGAATGATGCGTAACTCTTATACGTGGTATCCTAGACAAACCGTCTGCGTCCTGTCATTCATCATAATGAACAATAAAAGCCAAAACAACCAGAGGTGGCTTAGTATTCAATTCGTTTGACTTCCAGTCATTAGTTTACTAAATCTATTCCTTTGCACCTCCTTTAGGCAACTGGTTGGTATCGCTACCTTTCATGCATGAATTGTGGCTTGAAGCCAAGTATACTGAAAACTGAGTTGGATTGAGTGAAAGGAACTTTTCTTTTTCCGGTTGTTAGTCTCAAAGCTTTAAAAGCAACGTAGAGATAAGAAATTGCATGTTATTGATTGTGATTAGTCCAAATAGTCAATCCATTCATTCTTCACCTTTGACTACTGAACATTTGTACGGTATTATTTCTTTTTCCCTATTAATGTTGTTTTTCATGTTATTCCTATACCTTTTATTTATTATGTTCCATCTTTTCTCCTGTGTTACAAAAGGTAGTGGTTTTTAGTCAACATACTACAGTACTTCGTGCGATCGAATCCAGAAAACAGTTATTCACAATTAACCCTAGTAACGTAAGAAACTAAATTACTGTAAGAACTCTGTTATGATGGAAAGTCTCCGAGGTCTGATCTGATACACCGTGCTACGCGCAGCCAACCACTGAATTAGAACATAAGATTGAAAGAAAGTCTATTGGGCTACCGAGTACGTATATAAATACTCACTTATATTTAAAGCAGTTAGTTCCGTTGATAAATTTCGATAATGTAGTAAAAAGACGAAGATTATCAGAACTATGTGATATATTAGCGCAATACATTCCGAACAATTTGAGCACACATATACTTGTTAAGTAAAGTAATCGAACGCGTCGACAACTACGCTTTTCTTGGAATTCTAATCAGCCCTAATGGGTTGGTGTCTGACGAAATCTCAGCACGGATTCGGAAAGCTCTTTTGCCAACTTGCGTCACCTATGGCGAAGGCGAGATATTCGTCTATCAATTAAAGGATAAGTATACAGTGCGGCAGTTCGTTCTGTTCTACTTTACGGCGGCGAAACGTGGGCATTAAGAGTAAAGATATTTGTAAGCTATTAGTATTTGACCATAGATGCCTTAAAAATATTGCTCGCATCTGCTGGGATTACCAGGGAAGTAATAGTTTTTAATCTTCACTGACTGAGATGGTTGGGCCACGTGTTACGTATGCCTGAACACCGATTACCACGTTGTGCAATGTTAACGGGTGTTAGAGGTGGTTGGAAGAAAATTAGGGGCGGCCAAACCAAAACGTGCCATCAGTGCTTGAAGTCACTAACTTCTGGCCTGAGCCATGTTGGTAGATACAGACTACTTGGTTGGGGTCCGCGTGACCATCATAATCATTGGTTGGGGACTCTGTGTGACCTAGCTCAGAATCGATCACAATGGCGTTGATGTACACACTCTCTGTTTTCCTTAAACTAAGAGATTAAAATCGCTTCATATCTTTCTACGAACTAATTCTTTCTTCCTGTACGATATTCTTATATGGAGTCTTTCTTTTATATATTACCATCATTGAATTAACTACTTCTAAGAATCCGGTGTTCATCTTACTGTGCTAATGAGGTATGGCAACTTGGGTCGATGCATATATGTGCCTAGTCCAACGTTGTAGCTGAGTGAATGACTGACTGAACATTTCAGTAAACATCAGAATAAAATCTATGATCATCAGCATGTAATATCATAGATTTCATTGTTCACTGCTATTTTTTATGTGGCAAGGAGAAACTGTTAGTTGAATTCTTCATATGTAAAAAGATTTGGTGAAATATTTTTACTCACCGGCAGTGAACCACAATAGGGCTCATCATTCCACGGAATGAACGATTGACCTTCCTGGAGTTTTAAAGAAACAGATAAACAATTAGTTTTTCTCTTAAAGGTCAGTTAGTAACAGTCTCTAAGTTTTTCACGTAAATACAAAAGTTTTACACACGAAAATATATAAGTAAATAAAACTAGTGGCTTCTACTTGCGCTGATTGAAAGTATCATATTCAATAATGTTACCTGGTAGTTTATATGGTGGAGTTATTTTATTCACGGATTACTCAAGTCATCAAAAGTTTCTTGTTATTTTATAAATTTTAAAAATAGTCTTTACGTACTTTCCAAGGAAAACTGACTCACTTATTGATTTCGAACTGACTACCTATCTTTAGCGGGTTCATTAACGTTAAACGATTGTACTACATTATAATTATATAAATTACTTGGATTCAACAAACCTATTCTTCTATGTGTGGCTTCTTATTCTGATGATGGCTTAAAATTTTAGATACCTACATATAAACCTGGAGATAAGTAGCACCCACAAGAGCTAAATGTCGAGTATCTTCCTCACTGATCACTACCCTTGTTGGAGTACTTTATGTTTAGATAAAAGGTGTGTTCTGTTTTCATTCCTGCTATAGTTCTGCACATAATCGTTTCCTAATGGAAAAGCAATCATACCTCTACAGACACTTTTCGAAGTAAATATCATTTAATATATTCAATCAAACTTACCGTCTGAATTCCAACATAGGCTTACTATTTTCTTTCAAATTCTCATCCTTCCATGTAAGATAATGGAATTGTGTAACAGTACGCGTTTCATTTGTTACAATGCTTTTAAGATAAAATGAACGAATAATGTAATTATCGCTCCAACTGTGTTCCGAAACCAGGTGTACCTGTCAAAAGATAGAAATTCTCGTGATTCCTCTTATGTAACGACTGTATCGTATCCCCAAGAGATCCGAAATTCCATAGTTTTATGTTACTTATGACAAAGTATTACGTTTAGTTTCATTTCACTAACTTATTTATTTATTTCAACACATACATAATGGCACCAAATACATATGCGCCACACAAATCTCATTTGATATGTGTGAGGGCTGTGATACTGCCCGGGTGCCCAAACCGAAGCAGGTGGTTTTCTTAGGGGGCCACACCCCGAGCCTTCGATCTGAAGGTCTGATCCACAAGGCAGTGGAGCATCGTAAGGAGATACAGTCCCATGGAAGCTGGTGACCAACAATTGGTTCATACGCCATTTGTTCCCGCAGGATACTGGAGCCCATGTGCACCATTGGTTTTGAATCCGGTTAAAGCCCCAGACATTCGCTTTTCGTCCTCTCATTTTCGTAAACAACACCCCCGCCACGAGAAGGCAGTGAGTAGGACTTCCCTGGCAGAGGCTATATACGCGTGGCCGTGTGAGGGCATTTGGAGAGGGAGAGCGGACTCTCCCTACTCTCGGCCGTACCAGGGCATTTGGGGACTAATTTTACTATAAATGTAAAATCTCAACGCTAGACCCTAAATGGAATAGAAAAAAGATGTGCCAAGTCTGCAAGCTAATGCAGTCAGATACGTTTTCTCTACATTGTTCGATAAATCCAGTCGACCACCAGAAGAAAGATGGAGGTGTAGAGTAAGCAGCCTTTTTCTGACTCCGGTTCTCACTTGGAATCAGTCTGTCAGTTGTCCTGCATTCACCACTTTGCACTGTAACCCATCCTATCAATTCCGGATGATGTTGGCGATCTTCTCGGGTTCACTGTTGTGTCGAAGAAGTCTCCATAATGTTCTCCTATCCACACTGTTAAACGCCTTTCATGGTCAAGGAAGCTGATGCATGGTGATGAGTTCCATTCGATTGATTGTTCAATAATGATCCGCTGTGTCGCGATTTGGTTGATGCATGAACGATCCTTACGGAATCCAGCCTGCTGATCTCGAATTCGTGCATCTACTGAATATTTAATCCGGTTCAGCCACAATGTTGACAACTTTTCCTGATACTGACAGTAGTGTGATGCCTCTGTAGTTCTCACATTTGCTCAGATCTCCTTTCTTTGCTATCTTGATGAAGTATCCTTCTTTCTAGTTCTTCGGCACTTGTTCTTCCCAAATCTTCCTGAATAGAACATGAAGCATACTTGCAGTTACTTCTATATCTGACTTCACCGCTAGCTTCATCTGGTATATTGTCAGGTTCTGTCGCTTCCCACTCTTGGTTTGTCTGATGCCTATCCTGACTTCTTCGATTGTTTGTGGAGTGACATCTATAGGAAGGTTTGTAAGTGCTGCTTCGATTTCCGGCGGATTCAATGAAGCTGGTCTATTCAACAGTTCCTTTACGTATTCTACCCATCTGTTCCTTTGTCCTTGAATCTCAGTGATTGGCTTTCCTTCTTGTACTTGACCAGTCAATCTGGTTTACCATATTTCCCTGTCAGTGTCAAATAGCTGTCTCATATTTCCTTCTCTTGAGACTTTTTCCGCTGTCGTTGCTAGCTCTTCCACCTATTTCTGATTGTTCGCCCTAATGCTTCTCTTATTTGTTTGCTTCTGTTCATTTAGCCTGTGACTTGACTTTCTCTGTTCTTGTTTGAATATTGTTTTATTCCGTCTTCGTGTTTTTTCTTACCTGAATTTGTCCAGGGTTTAGATGGAGATCCATTCCTTATAATGATGCTTCATGCGGCCCAGCACCTACTGACACGTTGAAGATAATGCTTCTTTGACCGCTTTCCAGTTGTTTTCTATCTTAATTTTTTCTTTCAGTAGATCTTGTTAAGCTTGGAACCTGTTTTCGAGTGATTTTGAATTCCTTGAGTCTGTTAGTAGCTCGAAGGAAGACTGTATTGAACCATTGTAATGCTGTTTGTCCAGTTGTCCAATGTTTCTTTAGCTTCACTTTCATTTTGGCCACAACCAGGTGGTGACCTGAGGCTATGTTATCTCTTCTCCTGGTTCTCATGTCTTACATCGTCTTTCTGAATTTTTTGTTCATACAAATATGATCTATCTGATTCTCCGTGGTGTGATCCGGTAAGACCCATGTAGCTTTCTGTATGCGATTGTGTAGGAAAATTGTGCCGCATATAACCAATTTTTGTTCGTTCAATTCCCAGGCAAGAGTTTAAGTGGTTTAATTTATTTAATCTGGTTGGCGTTTTTTTGCTAAGATTTTTTTCCACAGGATGAGGTTGCCGACCCAATGCCCAATCCTCCTCATTTACCCAGTCTTGGGACCGGCAGTATCTCTAGAAGAGCTACATGCGGAGTTTTACTTTATTAAGTGGATTAAAAATCCATATTCAAAGTGCTTTTCTGTATTTCCTTTCCAAAATGATTTGATCAGTGATTTATCGTTAAGGACAAAATTGACTCATCAGGTCAACATGTCGTTCATGAATCAGTTTGAACACAAGATTTATCAAGCAAACAAAAAGATTTTAAAATTTACCAAAGAGCTTTAATCTGTAACAAGTTAAAACACTCAAGTAATACAGTATATCCTATATGAGACTCAATCGTGCTGTCTTAATATAATGGATAAGATGGGTACTGCTTTTTGTGAGACTTACTTCAAAAGAACCATAAACTTGACTACCTTCATTAGGCCAATATTTCACTGAAGCATCGTTCAATTCAAACTGGTCAATGTCATCCATTTTTTTTAATTCATCAATACGTTCCAGGCAAACGATTACAACACATCCTTGTTCCCAAACCATTAACCAAAATTCTGGAACTGACTTAACTGTTGGCGTAATTGTAGCAATGTAAACAGGATTTCTTGGATTAGTATCATACTAATTGGAAATAAAGTGAAATATTTTGAGATAATTTGAGTAAATGGAGTATATGGGGAAAAACGGTTTAGTTAATTGATTGTCTCAGTTCATCGTTAAGTTAGTGTTATTTAACTAACTTAATCTTGTATTGAGTTAATTACGACGTGATGCTTGAGGTTTCTGTGGTAATATCTGTCAAATTATTCTTTGAGCATCATGCCCCCAACTTGTCTAAAAATTATTGTCATTTAAAATTTTTACTAAACTGTATTGAAACTGAGTCCAATTGTCGTAAATATTGTAATTCAGTGCAATAAATGTTAATTCTATGTGTTCCTTTCACCGTAACATACTTCACTCTCTGTTGCCTTTTGTGTATCATACTATAATACTGAATAATTTTCAGTAACCAATATTATGGTCAGTCATTTTTGAGCATACCGTCAAAAACGTCGATTGTTGTGCGTTTGTTCACGGTATTTAATCCATTTATAATTCCTCTATTAATAGTCCCTTTGATACTTGTATAAAAATGACTTTTGATAGTAAAGATAAGCAAAAATAATGTTGATCAACAAACGATAAGCTGCCGTACGATGAGTCCTCATGATATTAAGTTATTGATGTAAGCTTACTCTACCCCGGGATAGCGTGAGGTCAAATTATGAGATCACTAGTTAGAATATATTTTTAAACGATGAATTAGCATGTACAAGTTATTAATAAGAAGATGAACATGATCAAATATCATAGTTGGTTGAAGAAATCACTTTTGTAAGACACTCACTCCCCGATGAATTAAGTCCTGACCTTTAATCCTAATTCTGACCCGTAATATTAATTAAAAAACGTATTTTCTTAATTTGTTGTTTGTTCGTTGAAAACCTACTTATTAATGGCAGTTTCCATATTTTATGTACTTATTTCTCATTACGTTTGTTGGTTTTCATCACTGTATTTCCTGTCAATAATTCAGGAAGCACATCTCCTTTGACTGACCGTTGATTCAGTAAAAACCTGAAATAGCTCAATAATTGAGGCTTTTAAAATATATTACTTATGTCACCGTTAATAACGGTACCGTATTGTAGTCAGACCGTGCTTTGATTTTAGGGTTTAACGGTTCATTCATTTATTCGATTTGAATCATCGAGTGAACTTAATAATGATAACTGTTGTGTTAGTTCAAAAGATTTGGTGAACCTTGTTCCTAATTTTATATGAGTTTAAATATAAATCAGACAATATGTTAGTGTGTGGTTCATTTGAAATTTTTTCTAGATTTATGCTTTTATAAAATAATAAATATTATTTTAGATGACTAATTCATGGAGGTTTACATGAAACATTACCAAAAACATGGTAATTAAAAGTTTCTAGTGGTACTATAGGGTATTTTAGTGTCCAATTTCACGAGCCCCAAGTCATTGTAACGAGATGCAGCTAATTTATAAATCTCACCTTAAACTTAAACATTCTATTTAATAAATATCTAAAGTAGTTTAAAGAATTTAGGCTATTCTCTACAATCAGCACAGATTCGAAATAAAAAAATTCCTCAATCAAAATACGGTATATTTGAATGAATACGCTTATAGTATCATTGTTTACTGCTGCACAATTGATACGATTTTGTTATTTTATAATATTGACATTCGACTGCGAAAAATATCTTAATGAGGAACTGTTTACTTAATTAATGAATTATAGTAGCCGTAACGTTTCTTAACATGTAACGTTTGTTCAATGAGGTATTGACAGTATAGTTATAAATAAAAATTCAAACTGTTAGATTTTTTTCAGTCTTCACAAGATTCGTCTGTCCAAGTGTAGAAATTCCAGTTCATATTTATATATTAATATCGTACCGTAACAATTAACCCAACTAATAATTTTGTTAAAATAATATACTGCAGCAAACACACTTCGTATATAATTACTTAATTACTTACTTACTTACGCCTGTTACTCCTCGTGAAGGAGCATAGGCCGCTCACCAGCATTCTCCATCCAACCCTGTCCTGGGCAATCCTCCTTTTCATATCTACTTCTATTATCCGACGTAATGTGTTCTTAGGCCTCCCTCTTTTCCGCTTCCCTTCAGGATTCCAAGTTAGGGCTTGCCTCGTGATGCAGTTTGACGATTTGCGTAATGTATGTCCTATCCATTTCCATCGTCTTTTCCTAATTTCCTCTTCAGCTGAAAGCTGGTTTGTTCTCCCACAAAAGGCTGCTACTGATGGTATCTGGCCAATGGATGTTGAGTATCTTGCGTAGACAGCTATTTATAAATACTTGTACCTTCTTGATGGTGGTTGTTGCAGTTCTCCAAGTTTCAGTTACAGTAGAACTGCCTTGACGTTGGAATTGAAGATTATCACTTTGATATTGGTTGAAAGTTGTTTTGAGTTCCATATGTTTTTAAATTGTAGGAATGCGACCCTTGCTTGCCAATCCTTGCCTTTACGTCTGCATCTGAGCCTCCTTGTTTATCGATGATGCTTCCCAGGTATGTGAAGGATTCTACATCTCCCAGAGTTTCGCCATCAAGAGTGATTGGATTGCTGTTCTCCGCTTTGAATTTGAGGACCTTGGTTTTCCCTTTGTGTATGCTGAGGCCTACTGATGCAGAGACTGCTGCCACACTGGCTGTCTTTGTCTGCATCTGTTCGTGTGTATGCAGTAGGAGGGCTAGGTCATATGCGAAGTTCGAATCGTCTAATTGATTTTGAGCTGTCCATTGTATTCCGTGTTTTCCTTCAGATGTCGAGGTCTTCATAATCCAGTCGACCACCAGAAGAAAGAGGAAGGGGGAGAGTAAACAGCCTTGTCTGACTCCGGTCCTTACTTCGAACGCATCTGTCAGCTGTCCTCCATGCACTACTTTGCACTGTAGTCTGTCGTATGAGTTCCGGATAATATTGACAATCTTCTTGGGAACTCCGTAGTGTCGAAGAAGTTTCCATAACGTCCTCCTATCTACACTGTCAAATGCCTTTTCATAATCAATGAAGTTGATGTCTAGTGACGAGTCCCACGATGATCCGTAGTGTCGCAATTTGGTCTGTGCACGATCGATCCTTAAGGAATCCAGCTTGTTGATCTCGAAGTTTCGCGTCTACTGCAGCTTTCATCCGGTTCAGCAACACTCTGTTGAAGACCTTCCCTGGTATTGACAGTAGTGTGATGCCTCTGTAGTTCTCACATTTGCTCAGATCTCCTGTCTTTGGAATCTTGACGAGGTGTGCTTCTTTCCAGTCCATCAGCACTTGTTCCTCCTCCCAAATCTTTTTGAATAGAAGGTAAAGTATGTTTGTAGTTACTTCGATGTCTGACTTCAGTGCCTCAGCTGGTATGTTGTCGGGTCGTGCTGTTTTCACGTTCTTGATTTGTCTGACGGCCATTCTAATTTCTTCCGTAGTTGGTGGATTGACATCTATAGGAAGATCTATGTGTGCTGCTTCGATGTCCGGTGGATTCATTGGAGCCGGCCTATTCAGGAGTTCCTCGAAGTATTCTACCCATCTGTTACGTTGTTTTTGAATTTCAGTGATTGGCTTGCCTTCTTTGTCTTTGACCGGTCTCTCTGGTTTACTGTATTTCCCTGATAGTTTCTTCGTTGTATCGTAAAGCTGTTTCATATTCCCTTCTCTTGCAGCTTTTACCGCCGCCGTTGCTAATTCTTCCACGTATTTCTTCTCGTCAGCTCTAATGCTCCTCTTCAGTTGCTTGTTTGCTTCTGTGTATTCAGCTTGTGCTTGGACTTTCTCTGCTCGTGTTCGGCTGTTGTTAATTGTTACCTTCTTGTTCTTCCTTTCTTTGATCTTGTCCACTGTTTCTGTAGAGATCCATTCCTTATGATGGTATTTATTTAGACCGAGAACCTCTTGACACGTTGAAGTTAATGCTTCCTTGATGCCCTTCCTGTTGTCCTCCATAGTAGTTTCTTCTTCCTTCAGTAAATCTTGTAGGGCTTGGAACCTGTTGTTGAGAGCTATCTTGAATTCATTGAGTCTGTCAGTATCTCGAAGGAAGGCTGTATTGAACCTTTGTATTGCTGTTTGCCCACTTGTCCAGTTCTTTTTTAGCTTCAGTTTCAAATTGGCCACAACTAGGTGGTGATCTGAAGCTACGTCAGCACCTCTCCTGGTTCTCACATCTTCCATTGTCCTTCGGAATTTTTTGTTGATGCAAATATGATCTATTTGGTTCTCTGTAGTGTGGTCCGGTGAGATCAATGTAGCCTTGTGTATACGCTTGTGTGGAAATATTGTGCCTCCTATGACCAATTTGTTGAATGCACATAGATCTGCAAATCTTTCTCCATTTTCGTTTCTCCGTCCCAGTCCATGTCGTCTCATAATATCTTCATATCCGGTGTTGTCTATTCCGACTTGTGCATTTAGATCTCACATTAGAATGGTGAGGTCCTTTCTTGGGCATTTCTCTATGATTGACTGCAGCCGCTCGTAGAATTGATCTTTAATGTCGTCGTTGCTATCATTGGTGGGTGCATAACATTGGATAATATTGATTGTGATCCCCTCCTTCTTTGTTTTGAATGATGCTTTGATGATTCTGCATCCGTGAGATTCCCATCCTAGAAGTGCATTTCGTGCTACTTTGGACAGCATTAGAGCGACTCCCTGAGTTTGTGGAGCATTTTCCTCTTCGTGACCGGAGTATAGCAACATCTCTCCCGTAGCTAGCCTTTTCTGTCCAGCTTGGGTCCAGTGGGTTTCGCTGATTCCCAGTACTGCCAAGTTGTATCTCCACATTTCCGTTGTATTTGACTGGCCTTCTCGGTCTCCCACATTGTTCGCACGTTCCATGCACCTACAAAAATTTTTGCTCTGGTTGTTAGAAGAGGCATCGGCCTCGTGGCTTCCGAAGGAACTCGGCTTTCACCATGAAGCGCCATAATTCTTCTAAATGAAGACCTTCTAACTCCCAGGGCAGAGTTAAAATGGTTTGAATTATTTTTTCTGGTAAGCGTTATTTTAGCGAGTTAGTTTTCAACGGAATGGGAACGCTAACCCCATGCCCAACCTTCCTCCTTTACCCGGGCTTGGGACCGGCAGTAACTCTAGAAGAGCTACAGGCGGAGTTTTCGTATATAATATGTCCATATATTGATACACTTGATTTACAGATTTTATTGTATGCGAAAATAATGGGTGAGTTTAAATATTGATTTTAAAAAGAAATAACAGTACGATTTGCAGAATAAAAATAATGCACTTTTTAGTTTTCTCTTCTATTTCTAGCTTATATTACCCTTCTACAATTTGTCTATTGTATATTTTCCCAGTGAATCTCATTATCAATCATCGTCATTTGAATAATCAGAAACATAAAAATTGCAGTAATAATATGAATACTTACCATTAAACTTCCATTAATGTAATCGTTATCACCAGATCGAAGTTTGACTCGAGATTGTTCATCTAAAAACACATTAAAAGTATGCGTGATCAAAAGTTTCGGTGTCCAGAATTATCATTTAAAAATCCTGAAAGTTTTATATTGATACCACTTAACACTACTATAATCTAGGTAATATGACTACACAAGTGTTAAAAATAATGAATGTCATCTAATGTAACCCAAAAGAACTTAAATTCAAAATGCCTATATCTTTGACTTAACACCAGAGATTCAGTTTCGCTATGCTCACGAGGAAACTGTAAAGCCTTAAACTGTTTCCATAGTCCCGAAAATCGCTTAATGGTACGAGAAGTGACTAACTAGCAATTTCGATCAGTTAAATAAACTTATCTTTGTGGAAGAGAAATGCCCAGAAATTAACAATCATTAAATACCTGGTAAATATATATTTTTAGAACTTACAGTACAGTTAAGTGAGAAACGTACATGGAATTGGTGCACATTCTCGATTCCTAAACTGATTCTTAGGATTTTTACCTTCTTCATACAAAATATTTTCTTCAGACACATACTTATCGATTGAATTCCAATCATCTGTTAGTTGATTTCTATCTTGTAAATGTTTTTCCATATATGACTAAATAAAAGTAAAAAAAGCTGTTTGTTAATGCAAATTTTAAATTAACGTTTCTCACGAAGTCAGACTTAGGTCTACGGACATTACCAATGATTAATGAAGGGTTTCAAATCATAAGACCTTGAAAGATTTGGTTGTATGTTTATGCATAATTGTCTCCAGTGATGGGACATTTCATCCATACTTTGTCTTTATATTACTCCTGAGTCCATAATATATCTTTAGAAAATGCCTACCATGCATAAAAAAACAGGAATAATGCAAATGGATATGCAGTAAGGCATTCTGTTTAAGCTCCTGGATTCCAGAACATGGAATGACAACAAAGTAAATAAACAAAAAAACCAAGATAATATGATGCATGAAGACCAGGAAATGCCAAGTAGTTAAATCATCTGAACTACGTACGATGTTTACACTTATTAAAACAAAGTTTTTATGTTTTTCTTTATAATATAAGCATTACGACCAGTAAATATATTTCTCGGTCGAAAAAATGGATTGATGTTGTCTCACGATCACTGAATTCGGCAATCAAACTAAGTCTACTGCTCATCATAATGAAAAATTCTCCCTCATTACAGTAGCAACTACTTCAAAAATCATTATATATATATACCCCTTTGAAAAATCAATCCATTTCCTTGCCAAGGTGAGCACTTGACCTTGTCACTTGGCTACTGCTCATTGGCTCACCCTATCATATATAGTTAAACAATATCTGCTTTTGACAGTTTTCCTTGACTGGATATGGTGGTAACTTCTTCAAGAGATTTACTGTGATTTACGCAAAACGAAACATCATAGCGTACATATAAAGTATTTCGAATCTTATTTTACCACATCAAATCAATATAATGGTGATTCTACTAGCTTTTTTAAAAATATAATCATACATACAAAACTAAATAACCAACAGTACTAAAACAAGATTTAAAAAAAGGAACCAAAAGTCTTAATTAAACAACAAATTTGTGATACCTTTTATTTGTTTTAAAACATTTAGCAAATATGAAAAGAATTAAAAAAACAGCTAAGTAATATAATGTACTTACTAGAATTATATGTCCAGTTGGAACATCAATACTACAAGGGATTGGTTCACTTGACCTAAAATTTCAATCGAATCATTTATCTGATTAATTTAAATTCTACAAAGAATGAATATACTACTTTTAATTTCATGTACTAATTTAAATAAAAATAAGTAGTAAATAAATTTATTTATCTTTTAAATAGTGAAATTGATGTATACTCATTGTGTAAGATTATCTGTTAATTTCAATCGAAGATAAGAATTCATCTGATTTATCTTATATTTATTAAGTGTAATATTTTAACAGAAGTGAAGTGTAACATTTATTGTAAGCTGATGATAATAATAGGTAAGTTGAAGTAAAACACATCAAACATTAAGAAAGAATCTTTGTTCGTAGAAATTTTTTAATCTGAAAGATACCCACCGAACATTCAAAAATAGTAAATAATTGAGTGAATACTTGTGTTTCTACTGACTTAAAACTCCATCAAAATTTGTTACAAAAGCCAGTATATATATCACTTCACATCAGTGGTAGTGGCCAAGTTGAAACTAAAGCTGAAGAAGCACTGTACAAAGGAACAGACAGCACTACAAAAGTTCAATACAGCATTCCTTCGAAATACTAACAAACTCAGCAAATTCATGATAGCTCAAAGTAATAAGTTACAAGTCTTATAGGACTCATTAGATGAGGAAAGCACTATGGAGAACAACTGGAAAGGGATCAAAGAAGCCTCACCTTCAATGTGCCATGAGGTGATGTGCCTCAGGAAACATCACCATAAAGAATGGATGTCTGTTAATAGCCTAAACAGAATTCGGAGAAGAAAGCACAGGAAGACACAAATCACCAGCAACCGAAAAAAGGCACAAGCCAAATACGCCGAAGTTAACAAGCAAGTGAAGAGGCGCATTAAGACTGATAAGCAAAGATATGCGGAAGACCTAACACTGACAATGGAAAAGCTGTAAGAGAAGGTAATATGAGACAACTATGTAATACAACCAACCACACAACAAGCAAGGAAATATAATAAACAAGAGCGACCACTCTGGAACAACGAAAGCTAATCCTTCACTGAAATTCAAGTTGTGAAGAACAACTGGGTAGAGCTCTTGACTAGACCAGCCCCACTGAACCAAGCACACAATAGAACAACACGCACAGGCCTCCCTATGGTTATGATCCCACTGACAATAAAAATTACCACGGCCATCAGATAAGTTAAAAATATCACATTTGAATAACTAGTCACCTTATCAACTGAAATACTGAAGTCAAATATGTAGTCAACAACGGATATACATATATATATGACATTCTATAAGAAGCTGATTAAGAAAGCTGTAGTAGTTTCATATTCTTAAGGCAGTAAGGAACTTCATATACTTAATACTTAACGTTTCGAAATCGTATAGGTCACTGTTTATAGATTTGTGTATGTTTAAATTGAAAATCACTCGATTCAACAAATACAACAAAACCGGTTCGTACGATTTTTGCAATGAATTCAATGTCTGAGGGCATGGCAACTGTGCCACAATCAAGTTTAATTCTTTGACATCTATAATCACTGTATACCACAAGGTTGTCATACATCACCTCATTTCAATTGACGCGAACATCAGTGAACATGAACTCAGTCGAAATGGTAATATTGACAGAAAATTCCCGTTCGTCAATAATTGATTTAAGCCTAAGATATGGATCAGAATTTTCTTAAACTAGAGTAAAACAGTTGTCCAGTTTTCAAATTTCAAACCATACCTAGATCACTTATTTACATCAGTTGATTAATGGATTTTATAAAGTGAATTTATGGTTTCATAGATGTGATTTATTGTAGTATAGATGCAGAAAAGATTTTCTGATAAGATTGCTATATGAAGTACAAGCGATTGAAAAAGAACAGTCAATGAATTCCGAGTTAGCATTACTACAGTAAATTTGAAAGCTTTACATTTTAACTTAACGAAATCATAAGTAATTAAAGTTACATTACATAGCATTGAGATTATAAACGATTCCATGAAAGCGAATAATTTCATTAGTCATTCTTCATCAATTTCTTTTACAAATTATTCCAACAACTACCACCGTTCTGGAAATAAAGGAAATCTGTTTCATTTTGAATTTAGATTATTCTAGCAGGAAGTACTTCTTTCTGTTTATTTTCCCGCACGACCATTTGAGCCTCCATTTATTGATACTTTAATTACATAACAGTACAATATTTTTATATTCTTCCAAGAAACTATTGTATGAAGTAGTATACTGAATACTGATGAAAATTGTTTTATGAATTCAATATAGATAAAAAATAAATCAAAATTGGCTTGATTCAGTTTCTGATTTTTTGTTAATCCAACCACCTTAGTTTCGTATAAGAGTATTTAGATAATATAGACTATGAGATTATCGAATTTTGTAATTTATATGTATATAATGAACATTTATACATTTTTGATTTGTTTACTGTTTACACATAAGTGCTAACTTACTTATTTAACATGAAAACATCTGTGTATAAAAATGATGCATCTTTCCCAGAGCTTTGAAATGATTCCAATGAGTTTTCATTAGTTGATGTTTGTAGTAATGCATGAGTATTAGATTCATTATTAGTGATCATACGTCTTACAACCCACATTGTATCTGTAGACAGTAACAATTCAGTTTCAACAGGTATACGTGAAGTTTGACCATTCTTAGACTCGAAATTTTTTGCTGATTCATCACTCTGTATTTCATGTGTTTCATTTTGTTTCATTACTCATTATGACAGTTAACTATTTTTGGAAATATTATATACGTATGTATAAGCTTAGTCCAAATAAAGTGACCAATTATTTAATTATAATTTATAAATCAATAAAATTAGTCAATATTTAGCCATATATCTTAAATTTCATAGGTTATTTTTCTATTTTACGATTGTTTATGTGCATTGAGCACATGCGTAAATTTAAAATATTGTTGTTGTCTTTGAACAGATTGGTCGATTCATGTGATAGTAAATTATTATTGAATGTACTAAATATCATTATCATAGTCAATTTACTCAGTGTATGTTTTAATTACTAACTGTATTATTATTAAACGGAAGCATGTCATATGTATTTATGATAATTTTCCATAAGTACCTTTATTAAAATGGTTTTTGTATGAACCATTAGTAAATGGATATCATGAAAAAACTATGATGAGATTTGGTAATTTGTCTAGACATTTCCTGACTAGTTGAATTAGTGAAGCTTTAAGGAAAAGAGTAAAAACATGTAGCTACATGATGCCTTTTTTCAAATACTGGTGATTAGATGTTATTTTATGCATTTATGCTTGTCACAAAACTAGATAGATGAGATTTTGTAAAATCACGAGAACATTAAAAATAATTATGAACTAAAAAATGAATTTTTAAAAAAAATAAAATTATTTACCATGATGAAACACTACTTTGTTGAGATCCAGAAAGATTATTATTGTGTGCAAGCTTTTTACATTCTAAATGAGGTGAATCATCTAATTGACATGATAATTTTTCATTCGATTCACTTTTAGATTTACGCTAGAATCATAAAGTTAAATGTTGAATGATCATAAAATTGTATGAATTAACTGGTCAATATTTTTATCACTATAAAAAAACACATGTCTATTGTATCTTTTTTTTAAGGAATTTCCATTATTTCAATTACTACCAAGAGTATTTCTACACAATTTAAGAAACAATATCCTAAACTTTTAATATACATAATTAACCTCCTTAAATGAAAAACTGGTTTAACAATTAAAAGTAGACAACATTTACATGATTTATTAATCATTAGCTTTGTAGAAATTACAATGTCTTGTAATCTACAGTTTCATCAAGTTAGTCCTTTTGATAAACATTTTAAGTAAAAACAACATACATCATTGGGTGAAGTGGATTAATTTCATTCCGTGTGCATTACTTCTTCCAAATACCACTGATATGTATAAATAAATAAGATGGTTTGACAAATGTAATTGATCAATAATCAATCTAAAGCGAAAGAGAGTGAGATCATACAACTGCTCTACTCAAATCACCGCTCTATCATAGGAGTTTCAATGTACACTCACGAGTTTTTTCCACTTAAACTACCTCGTAAAAAATATTGCTGGAAAACTGTCTATTTCCTTGTTTAATAGTCTATTTTATAGTTAGAATTCATCAACGCCAAATAGAATTCAGCCTTAGGATTTTGGATCCTAAGTAAAACATAGTATTTTTAGACTATTAGGCGAAAACTGAGTGATCAATATATCCACGGGCACTTTCAGTATAGCCCAGAAATTACTCAGTCGTGTTAATTTTATCCTTCTCAACTTTACTTACTTACTTACGCCTGTTACTCCTCGTGAAGGAGCATAGGCCGCTCACCAGCGTTCTCCATCCAACCCTGTTCTGGGCAATCCTTTCTAGCTCCGACCAGTTGTAATTCGTCGTTTTCATATCTGCTTCTATTATCCGACGCAATGTGTTCTTTGGCCTTCCTCTTTTTCGCTTCCCCTCAGGATTCCAAGTTAGGGCTTGCCTCGTGATGCAGTTTGACGATTTGCGTAATGTATGTCCTATCCATTTCCATCGTCTTTTCCTAATTTCCTCTTCAGCTGGAAGTTGGTTTGTTCTCTCCCACAGAAGGCTATTGCTGATGGTATCCGGCCAATGGATGTTGAGTATCTTGCGAAGACAGCTATTTATAAATACTTGTACTTTCTTGATTGTGGTTGTTGTAGTTCTCCAAGTTTCAGCTCCATACAGTAGAACTGCCTTGACGTTGGAATTGAAGATTATCACTTTAATATTGGTTGAAAGTTGTTTTGAGTTCCATATGTTTTTAAATTGTAGGAATGCGACCCTTGCTTTGCCGATCCTCGCCTTTACGTCTGCATCTGAGCCTCCTTGTTCATCGATGATGCTTCCCAGATATGTGAAGGATTCTACATCTCCCAGAGTTTCGCCATCAAGAGTGATTGGATTGCTGTTCTCCGCCTTGAATTTGAGGACTTTGGTTTTCCCTTTGTGTATGCTGAGGCCTACTGATGCAGAGACCGCTGCTACACTGGCTGTCTTTATCTGCATCTGTTCGTGTGTACGTGATAGGAGGGCTAGGTCATCTGCGAAGTCCAAATCGTCTAATTGATTCTGAGCTGTCCATTGTATTCCGTGTTTTCCTTCAGATGTTGAGGTCTTCATAATCCAGTCGACCACCAGGAGAAAAAGGAAGGGAGAGAGTAAACAGCCTTGTCTGACTCCGGTCCTTACTTGGAATGCATCTGTCAGCTGTCCTCCATGCACTACTTTGCACTGTAGTCCGTCGTATGAGTTCCGGATAATATTGACAATCTTCTCAGGAATTCCGTAGTGTCGAAGAAGTTTCCATAACGTCCTCCTATCTACACTGTCAAATGCCTTTTCATAATCAATGAAGTTGATGTATAGTGACGAGTTCCACTCAACTGATTGTTCGACGATGATCCGTAGTGTTGCAATTTGGTCTGTGCACGATCAATCCTTAAGGAATCCAGCTTGTTGATCTCGAAGTTAGGCGTCTACTGCATCTTTCAACCGGTTCAGCAACACTCTGTTGAAGACCTTCCCTGGTATTGACAGTAGTGTAATGCCTCTGTAGTTCTCACATTTGCTCAGATCTCCTGTCTTTGGAATCTTGACGAGGTGTCCTTCTTTCCAGTCCATCGGCACTTGTTCCTCCTCCCAAATCTTTTTGAATAGAAGGTAAAGTATGTTTGTAGTTACTTCGATGTCTGATTTCAGTGCTTCAGCTGGTATGTTGTCGGGTCGTGCTGTTTTCCCGTTCTTGATTTGTCTGACGGCCATTCTAATTTCTTCCGTAGTTGGTGGATTGACATCTATAGGAAGATCTATGTGTGCTGCTTCGATGTCCGGTGGATTCATTGGAGCCGGCCTATTCAGGAGTTCCTCGAAGTATTCTACCCATCTGTTACGTTGTTGTTGAATTTCGGTGATTGGCTTGCCTTCTTTGTCTTTGACCGGTCTCTCTGGTTTACTGTATTTCCCTGATAGTTTCTTCGTTGTATCGTAAAACTGTTTCATGTTTCCTTCTCTAGCAGCTTTTTCTGCCGTCGTTGCTAGTTCTTCAACGTATTTCTTCTTGTCGGCTCTAATGCTCCTCTTCACTTGTTTGTTTGCTTCTATGTATTCAGCTTGTGCTTGGACTTTCTCTGCTCGTGTTCGGCTGTTGTTAATTGTTACCTTCTTGTTCTTCCTTTCTTTGATCTTGTCCACTGTTTCTGTAGAGATCCATTCCTTATGATGGTATTTATTTAGACCGAGAACCTCTTGACACGTTGAAGTTAATGCTTCCTTGATGCCCTTCCTGTTGTCCTCCATAGTAGTTTCTTCTTCCTTCAGTAAATCTTGTAGGGCTTGGAACCTGTTGTTGAGAGCTATCTTGAATTCATTGAGTCTGTCAGTATCTCGAAGGAAGGCTGTATTGAACCTTTGTATTGCTGTTTGCCCACTTGTCCAGTTCTTTTTTAGCTTCAGTTTCAAATTGGCCACAACTAGGTGGTGATCTGAAGCTACGTCAGCACCTCTCCTGGTTCTCACATCTTCCATTGTCCTTCGGAATTTTTTGTTGATGCAAATATGATCTATTTGGTTCTCTGTAGTGTGGTCCGGTGAGATCAATGTAGCCTTGTGTATACGCTTGTGTGGAAATATTGTGCCTCCTATGACCAATTTGTTGAATGCGCTTAGATTTGCAAATCTTTCTCCATTTTCGTTTCTTTCTATCAGTCCATGTCGTCCCATAATATCTTCATATCCAGTGTTGTCTATTCCGACTTGTGCATTTAGATCTCACATTAGAATGGTGAGGTCCTTTCTTGGGCATTTCTCTATGATTGACTGCAGCCGCTCGTAGAATTGATCTTTAATGTCGTCGTTGCTATCATTGGTGGGTGCATAACATTGGATAATATTGATTGTGATCCCCTCCTTCTTTGTTTTGAATGATGCTTTGATGATTCTGCATCCGTGAGATTCCCATCCTAGAAGTGCATTTCGTGCTACTTTGGACAGCATTAGAGCGACTCCCTGAGTTTGTGGAGCATTTTCCTCTTCGTGACCGGAGTATAGCAACATCTCTCCCGTAGCTAGCCTTTTCTGTCCAGCTTGGGTCCAGTGGGTTTCGCTGATTCCCATGCACCTACAAAAATTTTTGCTCTGGTTGTTAGAAGAGGCACCGGCCTCGTGGCTTCCGAAGGAACTCGGCTTTCACCATGAAGCGCCATAATTCTTCTAAATGAAGACCTTCTAACTCCCAGGGCAGAGTTAAAATGGTTTGGATTATTTTTTCTGGTAAGCGTTTTTTTAGCGAGTTAGTTTTCTACGGAATGGGGACGCTAACCCCATGCCCAACCTTCCTCCTTTACCCGGGCTTGGGACCGGCAGCAACCCTATAAGAGCTACTTCTCAACTTTAAGATGGTTTAAAATTCAATGGGTGATAGCTTTTGATTATCTCAGAAATCCATCACGAATGTAATTCCTAACTATTATGGTAGAGGTTTCGTGTTAATCATTTCTCACTTGGGTAGCTAGATGGTTCGATAAGTCTTCAGGCGATATGTTTACGTTCAAAATATCACTCCATCGTATAAGATCAAGATATTGTCTAAGTGAAATGTTCTGACATCTAGAAACAGTGGGGAATATAGGCTGGTAATTGGTTCAAAAACGATATAACTTAATTATTCGCTCTTCACTATTTTTTGATGACATTGAATTGTGATAGGATCATTCTTAGAAGCAAAATATTTGATTAGAACTGATGATGTGAACTTTTTCTTCACAACAATAATACTTCAAAATGTAAGCTTTCACTAAATAGTGTTACTTAGATAGATGAGCTGCAATAATAACTATCCAACAAACCTATGACTAAATGCTGATATCATTTTGAACTTTCTTTACTCATTCAATAGAATGTCTCCAACATAGCTTTCACTGGTGTTTACAACTGAAGTGCATTTTGAAGCATAACATGCATTCCAACTATTATACGAGTTTATTTTACTTGACTTTTCATTGAATTCTTCATGGTAGCTGCAAAAATTTCAACTCTTCATTCGAAATATTTCTCATGAAATACAGGAAAATGAACAACTTTACATTAAATTGTCTTGTTTTAAACTGATTACCTTTTTTCGACATATTTGAACTATATAAATTGCTGTGAGTATAACAACTGCAGTAAGTATGCTTGAACATAGAATTATTGTCATTGTATATTTTTCCCATTTTACATGACCAAAATTTTTTAAACTTTCATCGTCGACAGAACGGTGCAGAGGCGATGGTTGGGGGGATTCAGTAGGAGCATTTGTACTTGAATATGTATTTACTGTATTCACAGCCTTTCAGCCAAAAATAATCGGGTAAAAGATAATTGAAAGAACAGGGAACAAATAATGTGTTAATAATCATGTTTTTCCTTTCAAAGAGAAATATGACAATTCAGAAATTTACTAAAGTAACTATTGAATATTCAATTACTTCTTTTTTTGTTGTTAGAGATAATCGGTAAGAAACTGTGAACATTGTTTGGCTCAGTGGTAACTTCTCAGATTTTGGAGGATTCGAACCGTGCATGGAGCACGAGATCCCTTAAGATTTCTGGTACACTTTGTTAACGAGTGCCAACTAGCACTAAATCTAGGTCTGGAGTTTCCAGTCAATTATCTTCAATCATCCATTACCTCAACATAGTGCACACGATGTCAAGTCAGTTAGACTGGTAGCCACAGTACTACTTAATTTTTGGAATTCGGGAAGTAATAAAGGATCAGACAAGCATGACATTGTTTCCTACTCAGTATTTTCAAAGACATTGTGACATGCCAAAATGTATTGAAGAAACAAACCTTGATGGAATGAACTATAATAAAAACTATCGTATGTAAGTGATTTAGATCTATCTAACACACCTCGAGATGGATTAAGACAAAAAGTGCAAATGACATGTACATATCTTGCATATTTATTCCTTTTTATATCTTATATCTCTGTATTAATTCAACAACTTGCCCAAGGTCATTAAAATTACAATTAACTGACAAAACAATATCATATCCAGTTAATAAGAATTAGCTAGAACCATCATTCATTAAAATAATTTTGTTGTTGTTTCGTACGGTACTGATAAATTTAATGCATCCATAGTGCACAAGATTTTACTTCCATAATTTCTACAAATAGACCCATCGGACTGATTCAAACCCCTCTAAAACAAGGCTTCTGATAATCATACTTATAAAAGCTCCCTCTCTTACGCCGGTAACAATTTATATCAAGTAGATTTTTTTACGATTCTGAACTAAGTTCTGATTACATTACACCACTTAATTTATAGTATGTTGTTTCGTAGCTATACATTTTTGGTATTCTCAAATTAGTCCTTCAGATCTAGGAATATCTATATTAGATTATAATAGTACTCTTAGAGTTTTAAAATCTTTATTACTATTCTCGACAAACTATTATTGATGACAAGCAAATTATGTTACCACTTTTAAAATAGTGTGTACATACATTTGTGAATTTACAGCTTACAGAATTAGTTGTCCTGGTTTCACATTCCTCATTGACTCTGACTAACCATTTCAAGTTTTAAGTTCAACATTGTTTCTCTAATTGAATTAAGTGCTTAGCTTGGATCAGTTTGTCAATTTAACAAAACTTGTTTTAGCGTAATATGTAAACAGCAAGTACTCAGTTAACACCAAACAGTATGACTTGTTTGAATAGTTTTATACTTAATTCTTATTCAGTGGTAATTCATAGAGTGTAAAATCAATGTTTATTGAGCATCTGGGCTACCTGTTCCTGCCATCTAGATATTTCAACAAGTTATCTATTTTTGTTTGTTTTAATATATCATTATGTTTATTAATCGCATAACCTATCCTGCTGCGTTTCTGAAAAGTGTACAACCTTTCGTTGTCAAAGTTACAAAAGCTCAATAAGAGACAATGTGGTTACTGGCAATATACTGAAGTGCTAACATCTAACTGGCGATCACTCAATATTTATTACAGGGACCGACCAAGAAGAAAGAAACGGGAATTTGTTGAAATACTGTGCGCTAAGAATTTTATATTGTACCAAAAATATAATATCGAATAAAGCAGATAATAATAATAATAATAATAATAAGTTCGAACTTACTCCACGGCCAAACCCAACATCTTCAATTGGATAACCATCTATTAAATTCATATTTGTATCTGAGAAGAAGAGAAATATGTAAAATTTAAAAAAATATCTTTAAAATCCAAATTTGGCTAAAATGGAAAAAGAGATTCATTTACTGACTGCAAATAAATATCTAGTGCATTCCAGACTTAGGAGTTTATTTCCCTATTTTCACGCACAACTTGAAATAAAAAATCCTCACTAAATAAGCTAATTAATTTTTGTATGCTTTCCAATTATTTCTTCTTTACATTATCTTGAAATGTCAATTTTAACCTTGAGTTTGAAATAACTTGTAGAAATACGCTTAACTTTCCTGTTTTTTATGTTATACTTTTGTTTACTTGCTTTTTCTTCGAAAGAGTACGAGATCCTGAAGGTTTTAGTTTAAAATTTTCACTTCATTCTTCTCATACTTTACTAATATCAATAACACCAAGATGGGTACCACTGTTTTTAAGGAACCCATTTACACTTTTACAAATTACATTTTCTTAATTATGTGCATATTTTTAAAATTCTTGCTTAAGCTATAAACCCGCTGATAATAACCAGTGATGGTTTCATTGTTGATAATTATTTTGGGGACAGCAGTCATACTGAGATGATAAATAACTTTGCAGACAGTTGTTCTCTCAAATAAGTGGTTAGGGTTTTTTTATCAGACCCTAATTATTCTACTGATAGGTTCATCCAACTTTGTGTCTTGGTAGAACAGCGTGCAGTTTCGCTTAGAATCATCCTTATTCTTAGATAAAAATGAACGAAAACATGTGAATTCTGTTTATGAAGTTTCTCTGTTATTAGTTTTGTAAAATCCAATAGCTCATATCACAATAAATAAACACTTTCATATTGGTAGTGAAGTGAACCAAATACTTATTTCATATGTTATTAAAACGCATCACTGTTTGGAGACCATTCATATTAGTTTACTAAGGATCGACAGCCATACAAGAGTATTCTGCAAAATATAAATTATTTCTAACTACTTGATTTGGTAAATAACAGATATTTAGGCTTATTTAAATAAATTGAAATTTCAATTAAAAATCTCTGATTTAATCATAATCAACCAGATGATATTGAATCAATACATCGTTTCTCATTAATAAAATAGTTTTAACTAATAAATACATTTGAAGTTACAAATCTATATAGATAAGACGAAGATTAAGACCGGACAATTACTTGTTTCCAATACTATAGTCACAATCAAACTTATATTCACTAGGTTCTATAGAAATTAGATCATCTTTTCAGATAACAGCCAGGACTTACTTAGATTTTGTTTTTCTGCACACTTGAATGATATTTATTATTTTTTTAATAAACTAGATTAACTGTAACATGTCAATAATGATTTGCATTCAATTATCATCTCACCGTGGCTAAATCTCTTCTATTTGACCTAAAATCTCCAGTTACAGCGCAAACGACATATTATACATTCGACTCTATGTATTAACTTTTTAGTATCAATCGAAATGTTATTGTGTGAAGATATTCACTTTCTTTTGCAAGCTCCACTGGGTAATATTACTTATCAAATAATAGTACGTAAATCAGTCACATTCATTTCACATGTTAACTAAATCTAAGTCTACATAAAATGTTGAACATGATATTTTTACAAAGTAGGAATCAGTAACCATTTGAATGATTTAAATTTCCTTCAAAGAGTGGTCATTATTTTTGATAAGTTAAATGTGATTCGTTTTAACAGGGCACAGGGAAAACTAATTTATAAAGATAAACCTTTTATAGGAATCTTGTTCTCGGAGTTGAAACTTTGATTTCAGTGAGTTAGTAAATTGCAAATTAAGTTTAATAGATGATGAAATATTTTGCTGATTCCACGAAAGGAGCCAGGTCAATAGATGTCTACTTTAAAATTAAGTAAAATTAAATACACTAAGTCGCCAATAGACATTTCTTCACGAAATCAGTAAATTTATATTTGTGACGTACAAAATATCATACGAAGTTAGCTCGTTAACTAGTCAGATATGTAATCTTATCAGCTACGGATCATCAGAATTTTCAGTACCACCAATTTTTTGTAGTTTTATTAATAAAAATTTCTAAATGTTCTACATCTATTTGTAGAAATCAAATTTTTACAAGTAAATGAAACAAAACGTTGAAGAAAAATGCAAATAATCTAAATAGGTTAGCGAAGAATCATCTTTATAATGCATTAATCAGCCAGTTTATATTTTTCATGTTTGTCTTAATTCAAAAATACTGTTAGATTTTCTGACGTCAAGAGATGCTGATAAGCAATTTAGCATATACTCTGGAATAATTATCATTCATTGTACTGTTTATTCTCTACTCGTTTACATTTTCTTTTCAAAAGATAATGTTCTTTATACTGATTTAGTTATATCAATATTGTTTTACAAAATATCCTATCTTAATTAATTTTATATTATCATGATGAACAGATTGAAATAACAATCATTAAAAATATTGATTTTACTTACTAAGAGCATCAACAATAGTATCAGCGGACACTCCAGCACTAGATGGAACATGAAAGTATAATACACGTCTCGATTTATCAAGGCTAAATTTGTAAAAGAAAATCGTAGAGAGAGAAACAATGTAGCAATAGATAGCAGAGACTAATTTTATGTTTCAATTAATAGGTATTCAAAAGTTTATCATGAACCAGAAATATAAGTCTTAATCTCATTCTGGTCCCTATATAACCAGGGACCATTAACTTCGGAAATAAACCGTTTTGTGCTAAACAAAACTAAGGTTGTACAGAACAAGTTTATACTCTAAATATGTCTATTTTATATGAAAATTTGTCAGAATTTGAACGAACAGTTTAACAGAAATTAGGAATCAAGTAATTGAAAGGAGTGATGTGTAAAAATTATATTTGAAAAATTCTCAGTAAATAAAATTTATTTAATTTTAAATCTCCATCCGATCAAATGTTTCAGGGAAATAATCAACATGAAAATTAATTATTCCCTTAAAGAAGCTCAGGACAGTTTGCCGGATGAAACTTTAAAAGTATTTGAATTTCAATCTCTAAGATTATTTGAATTATAAATTTTACAGATAACATTAGTTCATGATGAAAGTTATCTTTTAATAAAATAGAAAATTAATACGAATTAACCAATTAAATAATGTTTGGTCGTACTTTTCATTCAATATTCATTTCTTCATTAAACTTAGAATCAAATAATGCAATCAAGGAATTGTAAACTCTGAAAAATATTCACTGTTTTAATTTTCAAGCAACATAATGTAAATCATATTTAACAATGAAAAAAACATTAATGATGATAATAATTAATCATAAACTACTGGTATAATAAAATGACAATAAAACAAAATGGATACTCATCATCTCTTCATTAAATAACTAAGAAAAAACGTTTGGAAACTTACAAAAAAAATGAAATTGGAGATGTCAGCTTTAAATCATGTGATATTTTAAGTACAATGAGTTGTGCTTCTTGATTGGTTATTCTATTGAAATAAAAAAAGGACTTAACTGATAAAGATGAAGATAAAATCAAGTAACTAAGATCAAATTATTTACACTGTATGTAATTTTTCGCTAAATTACTGATCTATTAACATTGTAATTTACTAGTAGAATTGTGATATTAATTTTCTGGGACTGTCATTTTTAACTGAGTAAACTATATAGTTTTATTTCTTTAATGAATTACTGTCAAATGAATTTTATACTGTACGATAAAAGTGCCTAATTGATATTCTAAAGGATTAAACAATATATTTTGGCCATGTGGATGCATATTACATGGAGTCAAGAAGTCAAATTTTCTATTTTAAAAAAATACCGACTTGATTTTGTTCTTACAATTGTGTTCTTTGAGCCAAACGGTTTAGTCGTCAAACTTTCATTTCATACAGCAAAATCAGGATGAACTTCTAAGTTTCGTGCTAATAATTTTGTTTAGAAAGCAAATTAAAGCTTTGGGATTGAAGTACCCATCTTAGGAAATATAATTTCAGTGAAATCTGTCTGAGCTTTAAATCTTCTTTAGCATCTCAAGATATAATATACTGTAGGTGTGATAAACCATAAAATACTCTTCAAGTTTTTATATTTATTGATGAATATACCATTTTGCTTTGATATCTATTAGCGCATTATTTCTTGATGAACTTGGAATTTCTTAAGTTTTACAGGAAATATCGGTTTCTTGACTATCATTGACCTACTCAAACTTATCGCTTGGTTGGTTCATGTTGAAAAGAGTCAGTTTAGTGTGGATATTTAACCTGCTGCAGATATCATACTTGTCAAGTGATTTGACGATTTCGCTTTTAATTGTCCTGTTGATGATTATATTATGTTATATTAAGTAACCAAAACCATATAAAATTGTTTGTTCATGACTATTTCATGTCGACTTTTAATACCGTGGACAAGCTATTTTCTTATTTTCATGGTTATTTGGTATTTCAGTTCAGGCAAGGCATTTTACTAAAAAATATAACCTGGCGAAGTTGGTTCAGTTAAATTTTAAAACTAAAAATTTATTTCTTAGATATTCTATTTCTCTTCGTTCAACTTGTATTTGGGAGGGAGGAAAATGTGTACTTTCTTATTTCAACTCTCACGGTTGACCTATATGGAGGAAATGATTTATGACTCCTAGTTAGATTTATAACATTGATCTACATTTATAAAGAGATATGTTAGCTCGTATGAAATAACCAATTAATTATAGACCAGTTATGATAATAGGTTTTATGATAATCACAGTGGATTTCTTCCAGTTGTTAAATACGTTAATTACATTTAAAAGAAAAGGAAACTTGTTCGATGTTGTGAGGCTTTAAGAGTCTCCTAGATATGAAATATACTTCATGATAATTTTAAATTCGATTACATATATGTGGTTATGTGGTGTGTGCTACTTATATTAACATAAGTAGTATATGATGTTAGTCGTGAACAGAAGGTCTGGTAGCAGAGAGACAAGAGAATAGAACAGTAAAGAATGGAAGCAGGATGCAATTTGTATGAAAATGCAAGAACAATGAAGTCTGAGTCATTTTGAGACAATCGATGGACATTTTGCAAATTAAGCATTTTCTTTATGATTATTAGATTTTATTAGCAAGTCCTGTAATTTTGTGATAAACACATTCCGTCGTCCTCACTGGTGCTCGTGTTCACTACAGTTACATTAGGTATAACCGTTAAATATAGTATTCTAGACTTTGGGAAGAAATGAAAACTCATATTTTGACTACAAACGTGCCAAAATGTAACAGCTTTATCCTTCCCAAGAGATCAAATAATTAAGGGCCATAGAAATTGGGGCGTTTATGAACCAAACGCTTGTAATAAGGATAGGTATTAACTTTGGAGGATATAAATTTGAAGTTTTCAAAAAATAGATAAACAGTATCATAAGAAACTAAACACCATCTTACATTCATTACTTAGAAGTTAACAAAGTATTTAGCTTTAGTATCCGTAGATAACTTACGAGCCTCAATTTGTGAATCTCTTGCAACGTATTTGTTATGGCCATGATAGGATGTGAAGTTAAGAAGCACAGCACTACCATTTACACAGATAAACTACGAATTAAGAGAAGTGAATTAAATCTTTTAATATCTCGAAAACCGTTATGTTATGTAGGCTGAATTCAGTCACTTTCACATTCATAACTGTTGACTAGTCAACTGTAAAGAAGAAGCGGGTCAAGATAATGTGAGAAACATTATTCCCAGAAGTAAAATAATAATGTCCGCACGTCACTCTTAGTTGCTGGTTTCTAGAAGAACAAGAACATGTTGACCGAGATCACGACTAGACTAATAGTCCACTCACTCATAAAAACTGGTACATATTAACCTCTTTCTTTTCTAGTAGCGTAGTGACAGTTTTGACCTGTACATCAGAGATAGTCAAGCGTTTAAGTAATTAAATTTTATCTTCAAACTATAAAACAGTCAGCATTAATGGAGAAAGACGCTAGTTTCTATTTGAACATTACAATAACTCACGGTCCACTTAAAAATTTAATCCAAATCCATCTACGTTCCAATGGTTTATATGATCCAGACCCCACTTTTCGTGCACGTAATCTAGTGACTGATTTTGATGGTATGTTCATTTCTTCTTGTTGTTGTGTTTGAAATTCAGAAGGTAAGGTTTCACCAAGTAATGGTTCTTGAATATATTCTGAATGAATTATTTGTCAAAAAAATTAACAATATGAAACCATCTGAATTCTTAAGTGAATAACTTATTTTCGAAAATATATATACTTCAACCAGGAAAGGGAATAGACAGATAAGTGAAGAAAACAAACTTTCAATTTCTCTATAAATGAGAAAATCACATAATTTACCGATAGATAAACATTTTGTAGTCAAGCTAGAGAACAATTCTAGTTTCAATGACGTAATGTTTTTAAACACATTTTTACGTTGACTTGTTACAAGAAAACAAAAGAAAGTACTTGTTCTATCAAATGACGGAATCGCTTAAGTTTACAAACTTTTTAGATAAATGACATGTGATAAACTTCCAATAACCTTGTTTTAAAAACAAAGCAAACAAATACATATTTAGGTAATTATAATTCAATCGTGATATTTTTATTTTTAAAACAAAAGTTTTGAACAAGTAAACGCAGACATCATACGAATCACTGACAAACAAAACAGCAGGAAAAACTGTCAACTGTATAATTAAAAAAACTGTTTGACTCAGAAAAATTAGTTCATAAAAGATTATTGTACAGACATTTGAGAATATAATAGTTAAAACCAAACAAAAGTAGACGCCGACATTAAAATATCTGGGAAAAAACAAAAATGAAGTTGAAATTATTTCAACTTGTTTTAGATCTCTTCAAAAGCATAGATTTCTGATCCTCAGACTTATACCTAATGAGCTACTGTATGAGTGACAAAAAAGTTTCAATGATATGTTACTATGCCTACAGACCACCTTAAAATGCTATTGATTCATGAATGATGTTGGTGAAGAAATTTGTGCTGAACATGTTCTCAAAAAGGAACGCGTTATTTTTAGTAAGCTGAATTTCAGTATCGTTATTACTAATTTTAACATATTTTTAATTTTTCGTCATCCAAAGCTAAAAGTTGTATTATTTGATATATGACTTTGAAATAAGCTAGTTTAAAGAGATAGTTATGTCATAGCATTATAGATGGATTTTGTTGATGAATACTAGTAATTACTGAAATTTCTGCTTAAGAATTTATATATATATATAGTGATCGTGAAGGTATTTTTCTTTAAAACAATTGGTTCATTGAAGAAATAGCGATTTACATTCGATGTGCAATGTGATTTCAAGCTCAAGGTTATGGGAATGATGCTGATTCTACGAAGTCAATAGATATTAGAATAGCAGAGATAAAATATTTTGTGCGTAATGCGTACAATATGAATACGTGGGATGAAAATATAATCCTTATGCTAATCAAATAAATTCTAAAGAGATTGAGAAAATATTGACAAATTACCCGACTGACTTCTCCATTATATTTATGAAAACCTATTAACTAACGATGCATTTTATTTATATTCAAGGAAAACCAAACTTATTCTAGACTAAAACCGATGTTACATAGCACAAAAAGATAAGAGTTTCTATAAGGGAAAAATAGTCCTTTAAGATAAAATTCGCAAACAAAGTAAGTGATCTCTTAATTCTAACGAATATCATATTTTTCTGGTTCTTAATCAAAATGAGATTCTATCGATTTTGTTGAAAACCCCTCACTAATCTAAGTAACTTAACATATTTTAATGCCACGTAGTCGAGAGCTACCCATACAGGCTAAATAGATTATTGGTACTGTTTATATGACATTGGTTGACGCAGGCTCATACACTTTGAAGATTGTCACTTCCTTGACGATTACAGATACGTTTCACTGACTAGTCTTGACGATCACTGGTATAGGTGTATAGATTGGATTAACACATATTGCGTTCAGGATTGTGTTGTGCCACACTGATTAGACATTTCTTGGACATGTAGTGCTAGCGGATACTTGGAGAAAACTGTAGAATGCTCTTTTGTTAAATTATGAATATACTAAAGTTTTTCTTATTGTGATTCACTATTCCATCTTGTTTTCATCTGTTTTTTTATTTGGGGACTTGTCGAGTGAATCTAAGTGTTTAAAGAACACTAAGCAATAAGAGTAGCTCATTCATAATAAGAGATATTATAACAAGCACAAAACCAGAGTCCGGATGTTTGTGTTGATTGTCTTCAATCACCTAGCATTAGAACACAAATTAAATGTAGGTTCCTTGCCAACAAATGTGAAACAAAGTTAGATCAACTAAACAATATTCTGATATAACTCTATCGCGAAAAAATAAGGCTTTCTGAGCTCAACAGAACAGCACTATAGTCAGTCTTAATTATACACATGCATGTATACATGTTGAAAATATATTTGACGTGAGAACGATAAACTACCTGACCAATATAAAATAGTGAAAGGGGATAGTGAGACAAAAAGTATATAACTAGAATGTATCTATCCCAATATACCGAGAGGATAGAAGTGTGTCAAGCACATGTTTGTGAAACATTAGCACTGATTAATAAGATATATTAATTATAAAAGATTTAAAAGTCTTTAAGTTATTATCAACATATGCCATTCAATGTCGGGGTTAAGTACATTACTAATGTTATTCCAGCCTTGAATAATCAATATACTTGTTGGATTTCGAATACCAGTCAGTCGGGAGATGCCAATCCACTCATGCTTATATCACATTAAATTCAAGATTCAGTATAACTACTTTATTGAATATTAAAGTGGTATTGAGTCTCTTCAACGGAAGTTAATGATAGATTATTATTCGAAATATCTGAATTACTTCTTGGAAGAAGAATACTGTGCACTACTAAGCAGTTAAAAAAACTACTATGTTTCAGTTCATCTATCAAAAAAATCAATTACAGCATTTAATATAGTCTTTTTAAAATTATACCCATTAAAACATTACCGGTAACCACATTAATCTCTCACAACTGAGTCTGTTACATCTGTGCTCTGCCTAGGCCTCATTAGATATCAATCAGTTAACGCGGTTAATGGATATTGTAAAACGAACGATAAACAGTGAAATATCTCAGTCCGCTCCCTAAGTTACCAACCAGAACCCCGAGAAATGTACCTTGCACTATTTTGTATTATTCAGGCTGAAAAATCCATGCGTTTATATGCACGAAGTACAAGACTATGATGAACCGTGAATAATAAATCACACTATATACGAAATAAGACATTCATATTACAAATCCAAATAAGAAGTTTATTGTTGATTATTAGTAATTTTTGAATGGAAAAACGTATAACAACACTTAATGAGTCAAATGAAAGCTTACAGATAAGACATTACCAACATACTACAAATCAATTATTTATATGCTGATTCAGTAAAGAATAGCTTACAAATGTTCCAGTTTCTACTTTCCCACTCATTGATAGTGGAATCCTGGTGTGACTTTAAGTTCGGCTAGTTATCACGTAACTTATTCGCCAATTAAAATACGGTTTATTCACTCTTCTACTGTATTAAACCAATGACGCTTAACCGGTCTGATCAGCCTAGAGTCCTCATTGGTCCTATGTCCGCCTAGCCCGTCCAGTTGAGTCCAAAACACCAATAACAGCTTCCGCTCTGCGAATCATCTATTTCAGACATACTTGGTTTATATACCAGCCAATGAGACCTCATCTCACCATAAAATTGGAAATGACATTTATACACAATAAAGCCACAAAGTAGCTATGAACGTGGGAGACAGTAATTAATAAACTGAGTATAATTTAAGAACAGTAAATCGTAAAATAATAAATTATAGGTCAAAATAAGGTTTATAATAAGAGGAATATAAATATACACAATCTAGTTACTGGATGGTTATACCATAAGTATATATAAATAATATTAGTTCAATAATAGATCTCAGAAGTTACTCATAATTTAATCTTCACTAGGATATAACAAATCCAATCAACATGAGTTTCAAGACTGTGTATTACAAAGGTGTTTCCACTGCTTTGACTGTTGAGTTAGTCATTTTTCTGTATTCTTTAAAAGTACTCAGTAATTCCTATACATTATTCAAGTAGTTATGACTAATCCTGTAAGTTATACGTTATAACAGCTGAAGTATAACAGGCTCATTCAAACTATTCAGTTGACAAAAAAACCCATTAGTGAATGCTTTCTAAACTGATTATGAGATAAACGAAAACCAAGTTGTCTTTCTTTAACTTGACAATCAACTTTGCCATATATTATTTTCGAGTTGTTTATACCCTTACTTAATGAAGAATAAATATCGTTTTGTTAAGTAAGTTCATTATCCGTAATGTGGAGTTCATATTTTCAAATTGTGAACAACAGTCAACCAGGACAATGTTATGTAACTGAAAATAGCATAGATATTTATCAGTAATCGATGATTTACCGCAGTTTTTAAGATGAAGTCAAAATCATTAGCCCGTGATTGAAATATACTAAAGAATAATCAGAACAATATTAAATATAGGAATACCTAATATAAATCAGAGTTTTTTAAGTCTAACGTCCTAATTATAAATAAATTGCAAGAAATAATAATTTGAACAAAATTACAAAAATTTGACTTTACTTCTAACCTACTATTTTAACATATGCTTTGCTACTTAGAAGTTGAACGAAATTCGGTTATAAAAACATTTCTTAAGTTTGACTGTAAAGATACTTCCTTAAAATAACTATTCAATGCTGTGAAATATAGTGTAACTTCTTTGACTCATCTAAATCATATGAAAATCTTTTCACATATTTGTTCTCTTTGATCACATAAACATAGCTTTCACTTCGACTGTTGTTCAAATTATCTTGACTGAAAGTCACCTTCAAATTTAAAAAATTGAAGCATATCATAGAAGTAATAAACCAAACAAAAATCTTTGTCAGTGATAAAAAGTATTTCTTCTTGATGCCTCTTACTGCCAGTGTGCATTCACAAATTTAATTAGTATTTTGCAGTCACTTAGATTTCACAGTCAGTCAATCTGTCGCAGAGCGGAACCTAATAGATACATACATAGATTCAAGTTTTCAAACTACATTAGCACACACCGATCGAATTTTATGCAATAATAACTGAGTAGTAGAGTAAGAAACAGTATGAATGAAAACATTAAATACTGAAGTAAAAACGGACAAAAGGTTATGAAGAATTCAAGAGCTTCAGAATAGCGGGAAGACAAAGAATGGATGCAGCAGATCAATTGAAAAGGATTTTGAGCCATATCATTGGAAATCTCTAACCACTGTTCACACGACCCCGAACAATGTAGTCTAAACTTACCAACATGGCTCAGCCTTAATGTTGACTAGTTTATAGAATACTTACTTAGTTAAACCAGTTACTCTTCCTGATGGAAAACAGGTCGCCCACCATGATTCTCAATTCAACTCTGTCTCGGACAATCCCTTTTAGTTCTTTCGTGTTGCTGTTCATCATTTTCATGCCTGCAACCAATTCTCGGTGTATTGTGTTCTTTGGACTTCTTCATTTCCGCTTCCCTTCAGGATTCCAAGTTAGCGATTGTCTCCATTCACCACTTTGCACTGTAACCCATCCTATCAATTCCTGATGATGTTGGTGACCTTCGCAGGTACACCGTGGTGTCGAAGAAGTTTCCATAATGTTCTCCTATCCACACTGTCAAACGCCTTTCACGGTCAAGGAAGTTGATGAATGGTGATGAGTTCCATTCAATCGACTGTTCAATGATGATCCGTATTGTCGCGATTTGGTTAATGCATGAACGATCCTTACGGAATCCAGCCCGTTGACCTCGAATTCGGGCGTCTACTGAACATTTAATCCGGCTCAACTACGCTCTGGTACTGATAGTAGTTTGATTACTATATAGATCTCCTTTCTTTGGTGCCTTAGCGAGTTATATTACTTTTCCGCCTGTTGGGACTATTTTTTCGTCTGGAATCTTCCTGAAAAGTACGTGGAGCATTTTTACAGTTACTTCTATGTCTGAGTCTATTGCTTCACTTGGCATATTGCCTGGTACTGCTGCTATCCCACACTTTATTTGTCTAATGGTCATTGTGATTTCTTCAATTGCTGGTGGAGTAACATCTATAGGAAGGTGTAAGTGTGTAAGGAGTCATTGGGTGAAAAATTCCTATTTATCTCAAGCTTGTCTTCATTTCCTACTATTTTAAATACCGGTTAATTATATTTGACACTTGTAGGATTGCGTAATGGTAGTTATTAAGCAGTACTTCTTAAGCCTCAATCTAATTATTTCTACACATGATTGTCATTTTTCAATATTTCATATTTACTCAATGCATAGATAGACATTTCTTAGTGTAAACTACTGGAATTCAAATTCTGGGTTTAATGAAACACCGACAGAAAAAATACATGTATCTGCTCAAACTGCAAATCATCTCATTTATAAAATGAGAGTACTTCTTGAAATTGATTTATTGAGCATTTAGTTCTATTTATGAACGAAACAGGTGAGAAATTATGAAAATAATTGGGAGGTAGAGTTTTTTCTGAATTACCAGAAGTACAAACATTTTTACTGGTTCATCAAGCCTGTCTGTCCCATATTTATCCCTAATGATAATCTCATTCTAATCGACTTTTTCCTATTGATTAATTACAGCTTCAATGTTAATATCCAAAATCATATGAATCGCTCAATAAATAATTATTAGTAGTTATTTAAACGATTTTAACCGGTCATAAATTCCCAATTAATATTGAACATTTTAGGAATTGATGAAATCGACAAAATGTGAAGTCAGTAGAAGCTTTCAATAACTCATTCTTTCTAAACTCGAATCTAATGGTATTTACTGCTTAGGTTTTACAAGACGGATTTCAAAATTATCAGTTTTATCGACTAACTACGTTCATTATAAGCTACAGTTCGCCAAAATTCTATATTTTAGAGGTTTCATTATGAAGTGATATTAGTTATAGGGACGACCATTCACAAACTACTAAGCTGAATAGTCATAATCCACCACTCTTAATTAGTTCATTTCAAGAAGGACGTTTCTAAATTTCTAACGGATATCTGTGCCGTATAATTTGCTCAAATTCAACCCACGTTGGCTAAATTTCAAATTTTCAGTCTATTGTTCAATAAATTTCCTAAAAACTAATATTAAATAACTCTTCAGTAAACTGTTAGTAGAATCAAAACTCTACGAAATTTGGGTAATGTGAATAGTTTGAAATTTCTGCCAAACTTTATGTTGAATAAACAATCTTAATGTTTCTAAAGAACCTAAATTGCCAAATCAGTTAACTTAATGGAAATCGAACAATTGATGCGAGAGATTAGGCATATTTCTTAAGTCTCTCACTTCAACTGTCTCCTGAAACAAGAGGCCTAGTGTTGGGTAATACAGTTTCTAAATTACTAAGAAACCTGTAACCATGTACACAACATAATAATAGATTTATGTTACAATCTATTGTTCAGTATTCCTTAGTTTGAATAACTTTAGTTGTTATACACTTGTGATAAATATTATACAGAAGCTAACTGAACTGTTAAAACCATCAGATTCAGTACCATGTACCCGCACTGCATATGCTTTAAACTCGGTGCAATACAGGAAACAACTTTATATATATATATATATATATATATATATATATATATATATATATATATATCGACATAAGTAGTATACACCACAATAGTCTCGGTTACGTGTAATCAATAATTGTTACAGTTTCGTCAAAAGATATTTCCAAAATAAACCTTTATCATTGGGGAATGTGGGACACTTTAGTAAGATGATTTGTTTTTCTCCTATCCCTATAATCTAATTAACTTTAAAATCATAAGATAAAGATCTGGAATGTCTCAAAGCTCTTAAGGTATCGCAGCATTGTTTTGATAAAAACATTAGTTTCATATCTAAATACATCACCTGTTTCCAAAGTATCTCAACGACATTAGAAACAGCTATAAACATTGAAAATACATTTTTTAAAGATTTCATATTTGTTGGTGGATCGATAAAACATTACATATTCATTATTGGTCAAATTATAGTTTTAAATGAGTGAAATATTTTCTGAATGTCTATGATTACTGAATACTGTTTTACAAAGACTCATAAATCATTGGTTTTCTCGATGGAAACTATCCAGAAATTCAATTGACGAGCAAAAATATTTTTCTTTTAAATTCGAATTATAAAACACTGAGTAATAATTGCTTATGCAGTACAGTAACGTTAAGATATCAAAAGCTGGTGTGTCTCTAAGAAGTCTAAAAATTAAATTTTCGGCATATGAAAAGTCTTCCGTACATATTCGCCATTCTGTAATACAAAATACCTGTTCAGATGTAACCTAGTCATCGTCAAAATTACTTTTTGATCTTGTCATAAGATTATTAAACATTTTCCCAAATTCAATTAAACTACTTACTGCCTGAGAGTAGATAATCATCTTGATATAATTTGGCAGCCATATCACCATTGTCTTTATTTGAATCATCCATCACTTTATTTGCTAATTCTTGTTCTCTGTTAGATCCTATGTTCTCATTTCTTTCATGATTCCCAGATAAACGTAGCATTTTCTGAAATTTTTTACTGAAATGATCTAATTCTTCATTGTTCTTCATTTCCGCATTTATTCCTTTATTAATAGGATTATCAATCCACCGATCATAGTTATTGTCATTATCCATAAGTTCATATGAATTTTCAGGAAAATAATAAGGTTCTATAGTTTTCAGTGGATTGCTAAGCATAAAATTTGGATATCCACGATTTTTCCTTACATCACGTTTTACATACTGGCTACGGAATTGACCATCAATATTATCACCATCCTCTATATCATACTGATATAAACAAAACGATTTGGGGTCAACAAAGATTGAATGAGATCTGTAAATTGTACAGTAAATATAATACTTTTTATAATGTTTTGATGTATAAAAAATAATAATTTCGAATTTTGATAAGAATTTGCTAAATTTCTTAAGTGAAACAATATAAATAACAAAACGTCATTGGCGGTTCATATCAGTAAGTTATATTTAAATATAATGGACATAACAAAAAACTTATCAAACATACTGCCTAAATTATATTCTGTTCATCTATTTCGAAAGAATTACAATTTTGATAAATACTGTATGAATAAAAAGCCTTCGGTGATAGTCACATAATCTAAACACAACCTTTTATGTATAATGCAGCTTTCTATTTCTGCATGGATAACGACCAATTGCATTTAAACTCAAGAAAGTAAGCATTGAATGACTAGCTGAACAACTTTGGTCAGTAAACAAATTGCTTTATACGAAGAAGATAAGCAAAATATGATGTAAATCAATAACATTTAGTCAGAAATGTTTACTTTTTCATGCATTTTGAAAAAAAGGAAGTAATCTAACTCATTTATTTGCATTATTGTCAATGACAGGGTTCAAGTAAGTCAAAAAGTCCCAGAACTAAACATAAAAGGTATTAAAAGTATTGTAGGAATTGGCTGTGTTGTTTCAGAGCTATGGAGAAGTATCAATTATCTCAATATTTCAAATTATCTTTTTCGATCAGTTCCACTCGTCGTCAAACTTAGGTTTCAGGCCTGCTATTAACTTTTTCCAGCCACCATCACAGTGATACAAAAGTCCAAAAGTACTAATCACTCAATTTTGACCTACTGACTATGAAGTGAGTTACTAAAATCGAGAAGTGCGATGTGATGAATTCCATCGGAAAATGGGCTAGTTTTATTCACAATTGAAGAGGATCTAATTGAAAGACACTGGGATTTGATGGTACCTGATTTTCCACATCTATTTGTATGTTTTTTTCTATCTTATATAGTAGGGATTTTAATTTCTCTCAACATTCAAGATATGCTTTTCATCACCCTTCAAATAAATTATAGTTTACCAAACATAACAGCATCTAATTTTGTTCATTAACACTATAGGTAAATATTAAAAATTTACCATCATTGAGAAACTAAATCAACCGTTCCATTGACTGTGTTTTTTATTGAGATACAATAACGATTGTAACAATAATAAACGTTTTGTATATTAGACAATCGGAAAACCGTAAAGACCCAAACTTCATAAGTTAACATAAAAATTTTCACTTCAAGAAGCTTTGCATCATTTGCTTTCCTTATTTCATGTAAAATTTGAAAGTGTTTTCTTGGATGGTCTGATTAGCAAATATCAAGTAATTTCATGTTGAGATTAACAGCGTCCACCAATGATAAAACTTCAAGAAACTATATTTAGTCCCTGAGTTGGACAACACTACACAGCAGTATTCCATATACTATATTTGATTAAAAAACATATTAAAGTAAAGTTACGAGCCAGCAAGCGTAAATCACTCTACTCAGAAATAAGTTGCATACCATTTAATGGTCATCCGCGTTTATATCAGAGCCAAACATTTTTACTCATGAAAATACTGTCTGCAAACATCTATAAAATTTTTAATAACAGTGAAGTTTATCTGAATATTAAGTTCTGGAAAGTAACCCCAGTACATCTTTTTCCTCAGCCCAATCTATTCAGTTGAGGGCCCTGATAAAATATCTCAGTGACAAATGTTTTAGGATGTACTAGTTTTGACCCACAGTTAACTTGATTGACAAATTTTTTTACTAGAATAAGCGATCATGTAAGCCAGTCAAATTGCAGAAATCCTTCTAAATTAGGCGAGAAATATAATTCAAAAATAACGTTGGTTTACCTCAGTTACTGCTGGGATTTACATATATACTATTATGCATCTTGTTGAGTATCTCAATTATCATGATAACTCGAGTAAAACCTGAAATCTTGTTTAATTAGCAAACTATTATGCTAATATTTGAAGCTGTGTAGTTATTCATTACCTATTTTGTAAAAATTATCCTTTTTCTTAGAAATCTATTGTGCAAACTCTTAGGAAAGATAAATATCCAAATAGACCAGTACATGAGTCTGGATATCGAAGTTTTCATCTAAAGAAAACGGCGATTTATAATGTTTAGATGAACAAGATGTAGTCAACTCGACTGAGAATGTTAGGTGCCGGATGGAATAAAAGAAATTTACGAAAGAGTTATAATCTGACGCACATAAACTATTTCATGGATTAAAATGTTATTTCCTAGAGCATTAGCTAACATTTGATACTACTCAATTATGATCATGAAGTAATTTAGAAATTATTACCAAATATCAGTCGTAAAACTCTATTTTGGTGAAATCTGAGTATCCCAAATCATCGTAGGTTATGACGTATTTTTATCACTTTTTAATTAAGATATGTAGAATATAAGCGTCGTTTGCTTTTGGGAATGGGTGTCAGCTTTATTCATAAATGTATGGTAAACTTGATCTTAAAGATGTCTACAAATGTACGTACGCGTTGTACTTAAACTTTAGTTAGAAAACTTGCATTATTACCCTCACTACACACTTCATCCATTATACTATAATCTGTATGTTAAAATTTATTCAGAACAGCTTATAAGTTTGTTTTAATAACAAAGAAGTATAACGAGACAGGTATAGAATATATTCCGCTGTCATTCTCATTGAGCTAGTTACTAGTGATAACTATTTGGGTGTTCACGGACATTTATGCTTTCTTTTCCAGTCAAATTGCAGCTTTGAGATAATGAATATCTGCTCATTTGATGGATGAGTTGAGCAAAATTTTGTTCGCAGACGTGGATGGTTATTTGTGAGGCTTTCATTGTTCCTCCAAACAGCACCATCCGAACAAGCTTTTGGTAGACGTGAGCAATTCGATTTTTTCCGCATACTGCCGATTTCTTATCCCATTAACCTTGGTTTCAAATGGTTATTTTTTCCATTATCTTGTTCGGATAATCTCTCAATTTAACCTGACAATTGATCCTATGTTTGCTCATGATTTTTTCTAATTGCTTGTCAGTGTTTACTGATTGATAATTCATTCTAGTGCAAGTTTCTAGACATTGTGTGGTGTACCTCATAAGCCTCCTCTTTAACATATTAAACATTTTTCAATGAAACATATTTCCACGGTTGTCCATGTGAATTAATGTAAGCGGGAATAAATCGTAGCTTTTGAATGCTATTTGGCATTAATGTATAGTTTTTTTAAAGAGCTGTTAGATATCGGATTATTTATTCAGTCATGCTACAAATGGCTGAATAAGTGACTGTATTGTTGTGACCATTCGTCACTCTGTACGTAACCAAATATATCAGCAATCATGAAATCCTTAGTAATATGTCTATATACCGATTTTTCTTTCAAGAAAAATATGTCGAGTTTGTAGCAAAGTATATACAAAAATCTAAGATCTTGAATTTGCTTTGAAACTCTGAACTGTTAAAAAGTAACAAGTGATTTATCACCGTAAAAACCATGGAACTGATTGGGTAAGCAATAAAATTTTGAGGAAAACATAACGGCTGAAGTGCACAAAAAATTACACAAGGAAAAGGCAGAGTTCATTAACCTTACGTAGTTTGACTATAAATTGCCCCACAGGAGTATATAGTCATGAATGTATTTGCAACAATAACCACCCCCTTAATAATCAAATGATAACATTATTGATCGGTTTGTAGACCGCTTCTCCTCAAAGCAACAATTACTTACAAACAGGACTTTGGTACTGAATTCGAGATCTCAAAAACTTAAACAATCTATAAGATCTACCAGAAGGAAATTTAATGCAAGTAATCGTATTTTAAGAATAAAAGTTTTTATAATATATGGTGTCTCATTAGAAATTTCAAAAACGTGTGATGAATTTTAAAAAAAGTATCTTAGTTAGATATAATGACTAGCCCAGACAGTTGGAAAATCGCTTTCCAATTGCGTCAGTTAACCAACTCTGTTTTACATAAAAATGGTTTAACTTTATTTAGCTTTCTAGATAAAAAGCCTACTTACTATATCTAGCTGATAGAAATATACCAGGTTATTTAGTTTTAATGTTAGTCTCGGGTGCCGTCTTTCTGACTGTTCAAACACAACATACTGCCACCCAGGTGCTATGAAATTAATTAGTTTCATACATACGTGATTTACGTTTTATTACCGCAATCTCATACGGACCGCAAAGGAACACTACAATTTGTCAATAAGCGCAGCAGGGAATTTCCTATTATATATTTTTCTACTACTGTATCGTTCAAACTGTTCTGATAATTTGACTGTAAACATTTGTCAGAAATTTCACTGTACCGCACGACGTACCATTCGCAAACACATTTTCAGAAGTCAAAATAGTGGCTAGTAACGCTGAAAAAATTCCAGTACACAAAGTTTCTACTCTAGTTGAACAAAATAATAAGCATTCAATATATAAAACGATATCCCGAGATGAAAATATGCATATAGTATTTTTCTAGAAGATTCAGACTGAAGTTGCGTAAAGAGTATGCATATATCGAATAAATGGCTTTCATCTCATAACTCTGACAGATCTTGGAAGATAATGACCTGATTTTCTTCGTTTTCAAATGACATTATTGACTACCAAAAATGTGCACAAAGTGTAAACACCTGATATTAAACCAGCTTACTCATACTCTAGAATCATTGTTCTCAACAAACATTGTAGGGTTGTGTCGGCCCAGTTGTAGTTTTGTGGTCGAATAAACAAAGGAAGCGATTTTATTTTGTGCACTTGTGAATAAGTAGCATCAAATAACTCGTACTGAACATTTTCAGGAACACACCTTCCAAAAAGCGAATCTGAAACGTTGTATAAGATGAATGTTGCTCACCATTATGACATATCTCACCAGTCAGGCACACTTCTTGGTACAGACATCCTATAAAAATATATGCGAACTAAGTTTTTTAAATATCTGCTTACCAATATAACCACCGTCCAATAAAACATTTTTAGAACTAAGGCCTGAGTTGTGTCTCACAATAATCATAACTATTGGTATGATTATCGACCATATTCGTAGACAATGCATTAAAATTTATTAACACATTAGCATCAATTCAAAATGAACACTTTGGAATAGACAGGAGTTCATTCAAAATGGTTATTAAAAACAAATCACTAGAATTCTTTGGCCAAAAATGATATCATCGATCCTAATTTCTTTTTCAACATCCATTTGCTTCATAATTACTTGAAACAACCAGATTTTGCTAAATACGTAGCATGGAGTACCCCATGCTAATCTAGTACAGTTGTAGGACCTAATACTTCCCCTAAAGGAGCGTCCAGTAAAATTACTGACAGCAACATCAACTTCCAAGACTAACAGGACAATTTATTTTGGAACTTATTTATCGCTTCAAACTAACACGAGGTTTTTTACATACAACCACACGAATTACACTGCTACAACACATGGAGTATCATGGGCCACCAAAAAGCATTCACCAAGCAAATCCATCTTGGACAATCCTTTCTTTCATATTTGCTTCCGATTCCTGATTCAGTGTGTTCTTCAGACTTCTTCATTTCCAATACCCTTCAGGATTCCAAGTTAGCGATTGTCTCGTGATGCACCGTGATGATTTCCTCAATGTACATCATATCCATCTCTAACGTCTTTCCCACATTTTCCACCGCACCTATTAAATACTGAAGTAAAAACGGACAAAAGGTTATGAAGAATTCAAGAGCTTCAGAATAGTGGAAAGACAAAGAATGGATGCAGCAGATCAATTGAAAAGGATTTTGAGCCATATCATTGGAAATCTCTAACCACTGTTCACACGACCCCGAACAATGTAGTCTAAACTTACCAACATGGCTCAGCCTTAATGTTGACTAGTTTATAGAATACTTACTTAGTTAAACCAGTTACTCTTCCTGATGGAAAACAGGTCGCCCACCATGATTCTCAATTCAACTCTGTCTCGGACAATCCCTTTTAGTTCTTTCGTGTTGCTGTTCATCATTTTCATGCCTGCAACCAATTCTCGGTGTATTGTGTTCTTTGGACTTCTTCATTTCCGCTTCCCTTCAGGATTCCAAGTTAGCGATTGTCTCGTGATACACCTTGGTGATTTCCGCAATGTACGTCCTATCCACCTCCAACGTCTTTCCCCATTTTCCACCTCACCTCGAAACTGGTTTTTCCTATCCCACAGAGTGGTGTTGCAGACGGTATCCGGCCAACGGACATTCAGTATCTTACGCACACAACTGTTTATAAATGCTCGTATCCTTTTGATGATGGTTGCGGTAGTTCTCCATGTCTCAGCTCCACACAGTAGAACTATCTTGATGTTCACATTGAAGATTCTCATTGTGATATTGGTTGACAGTTGTTTTGAATTCCATATAAGCTTCAATTGTAGGAATGCCGTCCTTGCTTTTGATGATGTCACAGGTATTCAGTGTTTGACAACGCTTCTACCAGTAACACCTTCTAATATATTTCGTTCCCGCCCAGAGAAATCAAAAGACAGAGTCGAGGAGATTGGAAGAGTATATTTGGCGATGACCAATATATCGGAATTCTCTGATCTAAACTGGCTAGCGATTGCGATTGATGTTGAGCACGGCGTTACCACACGTGATCTGGTGCGGATGCCTGACCGAGCGCATTCAGCTAAATGAGTCCACTAAAACATATGGTCAGCATCCAATGTCGAAAACCTAGTGCCATTTATTTTGGGGATTTATTTACCGCTACAGATCACTCCCCCCCTAGTGGGGCAGTGACGACCCTAAGACGTGGCCAGCCAGAAGTTTAAACCCAACGAGTTTGTCGTTGGTAAACACTCTTCTGATAGCTTACTAAATTTAGCGGCGTCTGGTCGTCTTTCCTTACTATATAGGACGGAGGTACAACATAGTAAAAAAAGAAAATGGACAATGAAAATTTCGGATCCTCATAAACGTCATCGTTCTTTTCCAGCCGTCCTGGAAAAGAAAAAAGAAAATGTAAGTGCATGTCGAAATACACTCGTATGTGCGTAAAAGCACAATGTCGGCGGAAAAAAAATGGAAAAAAAATTCATGAACACGTAATAGCGTTAAAAAAATTGTTTTTTTTGTTTTGTTTTTTTTAAATAGAAATAAAAATATATAAGCATGTTAAAATTGTTTTTTTTTAAAAAAAATAATATAAAATTTCTAGAAGTGCCTTACGTGCAATAGTCGTTTAAATGTTCTGGAAATCTCACTCTTCTTCCAGAACGCGTCGTTTTAAGTTTATTTTCGGATACTGTCGAAGTATCATCGTGTGTGTTGGTTGTCGGGTGAGGTATTATAAGTGTCGGAGTCGTGTCGTTTGATTGTACCGAAGGAAAATCCACGTAGATAGGATTTCCTTCTAAATACGCTGCTTTTAAGCGATCGATACTGATGCTACCGTTGGTTCCGTTCTTATCGACTATATAGTACTTAGATTCACGTTGAAGAACTTTGAAGGGTCCTTCGTATGCCGATTCGAATGGCCGTCGATGCGAGTCTCGACGAACGAAAACATGTGTACTATATCGTAAGTCAGGTTGAACGAAAACATCAGTTGATTGAGGTTGAGTGGAAGCAGGTTTAACTGAACGCATTGCGTTTGTAAGCCTGTTCGTGTAGGAGGTTAGATCCATGTTCATTGAAGAGGATGAAGGATCCACGAATTCTCCTGGAAGTCGAAGTGTCGTACCATAAACGAGTTGAGACGCAGTGTATCCAATGTCAGTTTTCACTGCATTGCGGATACCTAGTAAGACGAGTGGAAGAGCGTCGGTCCACTGTGAAACGTTTGCAGCTGATAGCGAAGCTTTCAGTTGTCGGTGAAAACGTTCTACCAACCCGTTTGCTTGTGGATGGTAGGCGGTCGTTCGGAAGCGAGTGCTTCCTAAAAGAGTGGTCAGACGACGGAAAAGATCAGATTCAAATTGACGTCCGCGGTCTGTAGTGATGGTTGAAGGGCAGCCGAAGTTTGCTACCCATCGTTCGACGAAGGTGCGGGCCACTGTTTCAGCAGTAATGTCCTTGATGGGTACTGCTTCTGGTCATCGAGTGAAACGGTCTACGCATGTTAAGAGATAAGAGTATCCATTTGAATCTGGTAAAGGTCCTTCCAAATAAAGATGAACATGGTCGAAACGAGCATCGGGAGTTTTGAATGAGCCTAAGGGACATTTATTGTGTCTGATAACCTTAGATTTTTGGCAGCTTACACAGGAGCGTGCCCACTCCCTCACGTCTTTATTCATTCCAGGCCAGCAAAACCTTTCTGCTATAAGCTTGATGGTTGCACGAACACCTGGATGCGAAAGTTTGTGCAATGTGTTGAAGACATTGCGTCGATAATGTTTCGGCACGATTGGGCGATCCCTACCTGTAGATGTGTCACAAAGTAAGGTTTCCTTACCTGTTCCCATCTGTTTGATGCGTAGTTTAAGTGTTGTGGACGATAACTCGTGCTGAAGATCACTGTCTTCTTTTTGAAGCTCGGCGAGTTTAAGAAGGTCGATTCCTTGGAAACTGTTCAAGGAAGTTATACGAGATAAAGCGCCTGCAACTACATTGTTTGCTCCAGAGACGTGTTGAATATCTGAAGTAAACTGCGAAATGTAGTCCAGTTGTCGAGACTCACGGGGAGAGTACTTGTCAGAAGGAGAGCTTAACGAGAAAGTAAGCGGTTTATGATCCGTGAAAAGAGTGAATTCACGACCTTCGATGTAGTGTTGGAAATGCCGTACGGCACAATACATAGCTAGGAGTTCCCTACCGAATGTGCTGTACCTCGATTCGGTGTCTAGCAACCTTCTAGAGAAAAAGGCCAAGGGTTGCCAGGAGTTGTTAACCCATTGTTGTAAGACTCCTCCGATTGCTGAGTCGGATGCGTCTACTGCGATGCTAATGGGTGCTCGGGTGTCCTGATGTGCAAGCATTGTTGCTTTAGCAATCAGTTCCTTAACTGTGGAGAATGCTTTTCTTGCGGTGTCGTCCAAATTAATGGATTTCGCATTTCCACGAAGTTGGTCGGTCAGAGGTTTCATAAGTAATGCGCATTTGGGTATGAAACGTCTATAGAAACTTACCAGGCCGTTAAACGTGCGCAATTGCTTGACGGTGGTCGGTTCTGGGTAATCCAGAATGGCCGCCACTTTGGTCCTAAGAGGTCGAATGCCTTGAGCATCGATAGTGTGTCCTAGGAAGTCTAACGAGTCGGTTCCGAATTGGCATTTCTGAACGTTTACCGTTATGCCATGTTTTTGAAGTCGTTCGAAAACAAGATCCAGATGCTTGAGATGTGTTTCTCTGTCCGGACTTGCGATTAGACAGTCATCAACATACGCGTGTACGAAGTTGAGACCTCGAAAAACGTCGTCTATGAATCTTTGGAATGTTTGAGCAGCATTCCTTAGACCGAAAGGCATTCGCAAAAATTCATAGAGTCCGAAGGGAGTTATGATAGCCGTTTTCGGTATGTCGTCAGTAGCCATAGGGATTTGGTTATACGCTTTAACCAAGTCGATTTTCGAAAAGACAGTTGTACGTTTCAAGGTAGCTGTCAAATCGTGAATGTGAGGCAACGGGTGACGATCGGGAATGGTTTTCGCGTTCAATCGCCGATAGTCACCAGTTGGACGCCAATCGTTGCTGTCCTTTTTAGGGACCATGTGCAACGGAGATGCATATGGGCTACTTGACGGTCGTATGATTCCTAAGTCCATCATGTGATCGAATTCGTTTTTCGCTAACCTTAGCTTTTCAGGAGCTAGTCGGCGTGCTTTAGAAAATACAGGTGGTCATGTAGTCGTGATGTGATGTGTAACTTTGCTGGTTACACACGGTAGTTTCGTTTGAGTTTGTTGTATCTCAGGGTACTTATCGAGTAGTGGTTGATAGAGTGGGTCTATCATATGTTTAACTGTGACTGGGGATACTCTACAACCAGTAAAAGAAGTTACGCAAACGGACAAATTAGTGTTCCCGTCTACTAGCCTCCGTTTGCGCGTGTCGATGATCAGATTGTGGTGTTGTAGAAGATCCATACCAATGATTGGCATAGAAACATCTGCAACAACGAAAATCCAGTGGATGGGTTTGCGTAAACCCACGTTAAGGTAAACGTACCTTTTGCCATACGTAGCGATCGGTTTTCCGTTTGCCGCCTGTAAGTTTAGGGTCGATTCGTGTAGTCGGTCGTTAGGATTTGCTGGGAGAACGCTAACTTCTGCGCCAGTGTCGACGAGGTAGCGAACTCTCGTTGTCACATCTGTGACGAATAACAGACGGCTTTGTTCGCCGGCTACGGTTGCCGTTAACGCGTGCCGGCTTGGAAGTTTCCCGAATTGCTTTTCGAATCAGTCGGTTTCGTGTTGGGAAAATTGCAGGGTTTTCTGCAATTTCTGGAAAACTTTCCATACTGGTTATGATACCAGCACCAGTCGGGGTTATCTGTCTCTCGTGGTCTAGAGACAGATCGCTTACGAGAAATGCTTCTACGTGGTGTGCGCGATCTCTTACGGTCGGTACGAAGACTAAGATAACGCGTGAGTGTGTGACATAAGCCGTTTATATCATTCTGAGTCGTTTGAGGTTTTTCTTTGACTGAAAATACCTCGGTAGTAGATTTCGTAATTTCTAAAATGCGGTCGGCAGATGCGGCTAGCTCGTCTAAGGCGTTGTTCTGGAACGAGACCAGAACTGCTTGCACCTGTTGGGGAAGTTTTGACAAGAAGAGTTGTTTGAATAGGCCTTCGTCGAAAGTTCTTGGGTCTATAACCTCTCTCATCCGTTGCAACATGTCTGTCGCAGAACCGTGTTGCAGGTCGATATTGTTGAAGAGTTGATCTAACCTTTGTCGATCGGTTAGGTCTCCTCGTTTAAGAATCGAGCGTTTTAAGATTTCGTAAGGATCGGAAACATCACTAGTAAACATACTAGGTGTTACGTACCTGTTGAATTCGCGCGGTAGTGCCTTGACTACTGCGAGGAATTGTGCACGTGTGTCGATCACGCCGTGCTCGGAGAAGTCGGCTTCGGCGTAGCAAAACCAGGCTTCGATGTTGTCGGGCCAGAAAGGCATCAGTTGAAACGAAGGTGGGGACAAAGTCTTAAGCTTGAGTACTTTAGGTGTCTGTTCAGTCATGATGAAGTATGTAGTACGATAATGAACGAGGGGAAAATATATATATCCAGGAAAAAACACGAAAAAAAATCACAATGTTTAAAAAAAATAAGGCAATGATATATAAAAATCCCAAAAAGGAACAGACTCACAGTTGCAATTAGGTGTACCAGATCACGTCGGTTTCACCAATGATGATGTCACAGGTATTCAGTGTTTGACAACGCTTCTACCAGTAACACCTTCTAATATATTTCGTTCCCGCCCAGAGAAATCAAAAGACAGAGTCGAGGAGATTGGAAGAGTATATTTGGCGATGACCAATATATCGGAATTCTCTGATCTAAACTGGCTAGCGATTGCGGTTGATGTTGAGCACGGCGTTACCACACGTGATCTGGTGCGGATGCCTGACCGAGCGCCTTCAGCTAAATGAGTCCACTAAAACATATGGTCAGCATCCAATGTCTAAAACCTAGTGCTATTTATTTTGGGGATTTACTTACCGCTAGACTTTGCTAATCCTCGCATTTAAGTCTGCATCCGATCCTCCTTGTTCATCGATGATGCTGCTGACAAACCACGTGAAAGATTCTACATATTCCAGACCTTCTCCATCAAGTGTGATTGGGTTAGTGTTCTCTGTGTTGTAGTTGAAAATCTTGCTTTTTCCCTTGTGTATGTCAAGGCCTACTGATGCACAGGCTTCCGCTACACCGTTTGTCATGACTTGTATTTGTTTGTGGTTATGGGGTTGAAGGGCCAGGTCATCTGTAACGTCCAAATCTTCTAATTGATTCCGAGCTTTCCCTTATACTCCGTGCTTTCCCTCAGATGTTCAAGTTTTCAAAATCCAGTCGACCACCAGAAGAAAGATGGAGGTGGAGAGTAAGCAGCATTTTTCTGACTCCGCTTCTCACTTGGAATCAGTCTGTCACTTGTCCTCCATTCACCACTTTGCACTGTAACCCATCCTATCAATTCCTGATGATGTTGGCGACCTTCGCAGGTACACCGTGGTGTCGAAGAAGTTTCCATAATGTTCTCCTATCCACACTGTTAAACGCCTTTCATGGTCAAGGAAGTTTATGAGTGGTGATGAGTTCCATTCAATCGATTGTTCAATGATGATCCGTATTGTCGCGATTTGGTTAATGCATGAACGATCCTTACGGAATCCAGCCCGTTGACCTCGAATTCGGACGTCTACTGAACATTTAATCCGGCTCAACAACACTCTCGTGAAAGCCTTTGCGTATCGGCGTTTCTAGCTCTTTCACTTATTTCGTCTTGTTGGCTATAATGCTCCTGTTCATTTGCCTGTTTACTTTTGTGTATTCAGCTTGTGTCCTCACTTTCTCTGCTCTTGCTCTGCTGTCTGTTCATGCTGTATTCTTTTACATTTTTTGAATCTCGTCCAGATTTTCGATGTTTTTCTTTTACTTACAATGATTATTCTTGCAGTTAGCAACTCCTGACATGTAAAATTTCAAGCTTAATTGATCACTTAGCGGTTGTACTCCATGGTAGCTAGTCCTTCTTTCACAGATCTTGTAAGGCGAGAAACGTGTTGTTGAGAGTTATCTTTAATCGGTTGAGTTTATCAGTATATCGAAAAAGGATTGTGATGGACCCTGTTGCTCCTCCAGTTGTCCAGTGTTTCTTTGGCTTCAGTTTCATCATGACCACGACCAGGAGGTGATCTGAAGCCATGTCAGCTCCTATCTTGATTCTCACGTCTTCCATTGATCTCCTGAATTTTTTATTCCTACTTATCTATCTGGTTCTTCGTGTTGTGATTCGATGAGATTCATGTAACTTTGCGTACGCATTTGTGTGGAGGTATTGTGCCACAAATAACCAATTTGTTGTATGCACACAGATTTAGAAATCTCTCACCATTTTCATTTCTCTCCCTCAGTGCATGTCGTCCCATGATATCTTCATAATCGATGTTGCTCAATATGATTTTGGCGTTTAGATCTCTTAACAGGGTAGTTAGGTCCTTTCTTGGGCACTTCAATATGATCTGTCACAACCTCTCGCAGAACTGATCATTATTGTCGTCGTTTCTATCATTGGTGGGTGCATAAAATTGCATAATATTCATTGTAACTACCTCCTTTGTCCTTCTGAATGATATTCTGATGATTCTGGATCCGTGAGCTTTCCATGCTATAAGTGCATTACGTGCTTCTTTGGACATCATCAGAGCAACTCCCTGAGTGTGTGCAGCATTTTCCTCCGAAGAATCTTGTCTTTCACGATGAGGCGTCATAACTCTTCCTTCAACTCTCAGGACAGGGTTTAAATTGTTTAATCCGTTTATTCTGGTTGGCGTTTTTTTATCAAGGTTTTTTCTACGAAATGTGGTTGCCGACCACATACCCATCCCTTCTTCTTTACCTAGGCTTGAGATGGGCAGTAGCTCTAGAAGGGCTGCAGGCGTAGTTAAAGACCCTGTAGTGATGCTCAGAAATTAGAGGCACAACGCAAGGAGCTTTATTGTGTTCACACTTTGCGTATTCAATTTGTCTAATTTGCTAGTAGCTGGAGTTTTTCAAGCGAATTCCGAGAATCCTACAAGGGAGATTTCGTTGATTTAACTTTATCAACGAAGGCCAGTATCCTAATATAGATGCTACCTGTATTCAAAGTTTGACAAAGCCCCTCACACGTAACACATTTATAATCGAAGAATACCAACCCAATCAAATCGGATTACAGAAACAGAGGTTCATATATGTTTTAAACACTATCGATATATCGGGAAGCGTTTAGTTTAAGCAATCAAGGAAATTTGCCAAAAAAAAGAAATAACTAAGCCCGTTTGACTTCTGCTCACGATACAAAATCTGAATCTGTTTATGAGCCTTTTTAAATTGAACATGCGTACTATGACCTTGTAACTTAAAGAGGACATTGGGATATACTGAAATCTGTGTGCGTAAGTCGGTTATGTTCCGTTGTGTTGGTGTATCGTAATTCCTTACCTGACGTAGACTAACTTTGACATTTTTCCTAGTCATGTCGGTGGCTGTTGACTTCTTTTTTAGAAATCACTCACTGAAGCTGCTAACCTAATATTTACGGATGTGTATTACTGACTGAATTTGGTGGGATTTAGGTCTAAATCTCAACTCTTGGAAGTGAGAATTAAGATACTTGAGGTATGATGCGGATTGCGCGTGAAATCTAGATAATTCACCAAAAATCTACTTATGATCTAAGAAAACGTAGATATCGTATATTAACTGAAAAAACGCCTTTAGACTCAACACTACATAAGTAACTTCAAGGCTCATTTTTGACCAGTTTTATGTGATACTTTGTCTGGCGCTTAAATTTTATTCAGCCCTACATAGAATATAATGTGGTTCCTCCCTTTACCCAAATGGCCTTTTTCAAGTATATACAGAGAAACTCCAAACCACCCTTAAGTTTTTAGTTCAGATCCTTCCAGGAACACCTGAAGCCATTAGATCTATACCTCAGAATATATAGTCCAGACTTACGCTTGTCACCCCCCCCCCGGAACAGCATAGGCCGCCCACCAAGATTCTCCACGATTTAGAGGTGACGTCAGAAAAATCTACATCATAACCACCCGAAACTATCCTATGGAGCACTTTTACAGGTCAGGCCGTCATAAAAATCCTAGGGGAAATAATTAAAAGCCATATTTACCACGTACCTGTTTGAGCTGGGTTTGCCTCTTGCTGTTCACTGGTAGTCAAGTTTATGAATTCACTGCCATCTAAAGAGTAAACAGATTCCTCGGTTTCCTAAAGTAAAACTCTAAATAGCATGTCGTGTTCTTAATCCTTGTTATTTTGTATAATTTATCCCTACCTGCATCACACTGATGGTCCATTTCTTCTAGGCCCGGAAGAGCATTTGACGAAAACTTCAGTCCCGCCAACAACCATTTTAACTGTTAGTACTTCGGGATATAATAGCCTTAAATTCCACATTTGTAACATACCACATCATTTAGTTCCAATTACTGGTCCAGAATAAGTCAATCTGTAGTATTTAGACATACCACTAGTATCTTCGCACTGTAGACAGTTTATTCTGGTACAGTAAGCTGTGTCTGACTATGGATGTTATGTAAAAGCCAGAATCCAACAAACTTATGTTAGTCTTCGTGTTTTCTATTTTGCAGGTTGTGTACCTCTGCTAGGAAAATTATTTCCGCTAGTCACTAATCTAACATTGCAAGTATACTTGCTACATGTCGCTCAACGCCTGACTAAAAGAGTCGTGATGTTTGGGAGGTGAAGTGAAAATTGAATCCTCTTGAGTCTTTGAAACAACAAGAATAACGAATGATAATTCATAAGTTAACTTTGTATTGCAGACGGTTCTATAGAATTGCTGAGAGTGCCGTGATGTGGCTTTTTCGTACTGAAATTTGTTTATTTCTGTCAGTTTCCGCCATTCTTTCAGCGTTTTGTGTACTTGAGTCCATACTTCACCCTGAAGAAAACTCAGAAACATTGGAAGTATTGACATTATCAAATGATACCAGTTCAGATTCGGAACTTGACGATAATGCTTCTTCACCAATCGAAAATATATCAACTTTCATATCACTTGTCCTGGGGCTGTTTGCAGTTCTTTTGGTTCTCTGGAAAGTAGCTGTAGTTATGTTTTTTGGAAGCTTGACATCTGCTGAAAGAGTATCACTTTCCAAGTCTCTCTTTCGTTTTGTTCTTTTCCATTTTATCATACTTTCCGGCGCAATTAATCCTTCTCGACTGACAAGTCTCTTGGGATGGCTTTGTTGGTTCAGTATTCTCGGTGTGTTGCACATGTTAACATCTGTGGCTTCTTCCAGATGTAACCAAATGTCTGCTTCTGGTGCCGTAAACATGCGCCAGTGGTTGCGGATATACTGTATGTTTATTATCATTTCTCTTGCAAATTGGTACTTACTTAGAGCCGGTTTGGAAAACTGCTTCACGTTGGCAGACATAGATGTCTCAACTAGTGGAGACTTTTTAGATCTTCATTCACGGAATTCCTTCTTAACTGGCCTCAAAACACCAACTGTGTTGGGTGCATTGAAAGCTAAAATAACAGGGAAAAAGGAGCTTTTGTATGATGCTGTTGATGTTGTCGCCCTACTTATATCTGAGTTTGCGCTTCTGATGTGTACAATATCACATCTTGTTTGTGGATTAATCATACAGACATATGACCGTTGGTGTCTACGTAATGGTCAAAGCTGGCAATACCATTCAACAGTTACGTATTATTATGAGCTCTTTTTCACATGCTTTTACCGGCTAACAGAAATAACGCACTATCTACATCTTCTATTATGGAGTAGAGTGTTTTCTGTGGCTAGCCTTGTTGTTTTCTTGCATATACGTGTATCTTACTCAAACTTGGCTAACAGTATATCTCGCCACCTAGCACAAAGACGACTAATGAAATACATCAATGAGAACTACCAGGCTTGCAAGACAGGGTATTATGTGAGTTAGCTTGATTCTTAATCAAATTGTACTATTTTTTTTAAACAAATGTAAACACTAGCAACTACTTCTCATTGAATAATTACTTGTTCCATATGAATGCTAGTTATCTTTTAGTACGTATATATACCAGTAGTATTGTCGTAGACTAGTTGTTATAATGGAAATCCGCTTGTGTATAGCTACTGAATTAATTATCTGAGTTGAAAATATTTTGGATATTGAATAATATTTAAGTAATTGATTGGTTGTTGGTATGGTGGTGTAGACTTTGTACTATTAATTGAATCAAAGCTTATGAAGAACTGCTACCAGAATAGTCAACCTCAATGTGTATTCATCAGGGCTGACCACTATCACTCTTTTTATTTAATTTCCCCATGGATGCCTTCTTAGAAACCACACTTTCTTTATCTAGCATTCCAAAGATTGATCTGTCAGGAGGTCTACTTATTGGGTTAGAATATCTGAACGACATAATCGTATTTGGTGAAGACAAAAATGAAGTCTTTTGATCGCTTTGGGTTTATTTTATTTATTTGAACACTGATATTGGTACAAGGAGGCACCAAATACATATGCGCCACACAAATCTCATTTGATTTGTGTGAGGGGTGTGATACTGCTCGGGTGCCCGAACCGAAGCAGGTGGCTTTCTTAGGGGGCCACACCCGGAGCCTTTGACCTTAAGGTCTAATCCACAAGGCAGTGGAACAACGTCAGGAGATGCAGTCCCATGGTAGCCGGTGAACAACGATTGGTTCATACGCCATTTATTACTTCAGTGTACTGAAGCCCATGTGCACCATTGGTTTGGAATCAGGGTTTTTCAACTTCCCTAGGTGGAATCTCCATGTCCACCAACCCGGTTAACGCGCTGGATATTCGCTTTTCGTCCTCTCAATTTCGTAAACAACACCCCCGCCGCGAGAAGGCAGTGAGCAGGACTTCCCTGGCAGTGATTGTATGCACATGGCCATGTGAGAGCGTTTCGAGAGGGATAGCGGACTCTCCCCACTCTCGACCGCACCAGGGCATTTGGGGGCACACTGAGTAGCAATATAAATGTGTTTAGATTGCATTTATCTTCACCCGACCGTAAATGTTGCTTGAGTACTGGTCTGTCCCATCGCACAGTTTGATAATAGGGGGTGAATTAGTTGACTATGTTGCTCGCTTACATACATTTGAGCCAGGCTCTATATTAACATGCTTGTTTATTAATCTGCGCCGATGTTCTTTGTCACCAACTCATTATCTTTTCAGTCAGTCAGCAACAACGTAGTCAAATACTAGTAACCTACGAATATCCTCTACTCTTACCGGCCATGTTTCACAGCCATAAAGTAGAATGGAACGAACTGCTGCACAGTAAACCCGTCCTTTGGTTGGTGGAGGGATATCTCGCGTACACCATAAATGACGCAATTTGGCAAACGCTGGTCGAGTTTCCTGTATCTGTGCTGAGATTTCGTCACACGCCCGATTACAAAGGCTGATGAGACTTCCAAGATAAGTGGGCCCGCCCTCCTCGAAATGCTCTCACGGCCAAGCGTATACACCTTCTGCCAGGGAAGTCCTACTGACTTCCCTATTGTGGTGGGTGTGTTGTTTACGAAAATGAGAGGACGACGAGCGAATGTCCTGCGCTTTAACCGGATTCCAAACCAATGATGTACATGGGCTCCAGTATCCTGCGGGAGCAAATGGCGTATAAACCGATTCCGAGTGTTCATTGTCCTGTTTAGTTGGACAGCGCACGAACGACTTCCTACTGGGATCCAGTCCAGGAGAGCTAGTTCTGCCCAAGGACTCAATGCTATACCTACACTAGCAAGGCCACAGGAAGCAGCATCAAGGCTTCCAGATATGAGATCAAATGAATAACGCTACTCGGGTCTTGTATGTGCGTCTCAGAAACGCAGCACACATCGATGGTACGAGATTCTAAAGTCCTAGCTAAGGAAGCCTGCTGTCTTATTTTACAGTGTTCGGACGTTGAAAGCTCCTACATGTAGTTTAGTGCGTGGCTTCAGGAGACCGGAAATAACGTTCCGCGTACTCGAATCGGTTGCATTCGCGGTGTGAGGTTATAAACGAACATGAGAAGAGTTAGTTATGGAGATAACAGGGTTATTAGATGTAAGAAGGATTTGATTGTGAACAACTTAGTCTCGTGTATTGTTACGGGTATGAGGGCTGATGTCACTTCCCAGCTGCCCAAAACGTGGAATGATATTTCTTGAGGAACCTGAAATGGAAGTTGGATTAGTGTTGGTCTTAACGACCGCAGAGCCCAAGGGACAATTGCGTGAGACCGGTCATATACGGCCTTTTTGTGGGAAGTTTTTAACCTGTTAGCTCCGTTCTTTAAAAGGCCTTACCACCGGAGACGAAAATTCGTGAGGTAAGGTGAGGTTTGACATTTTAAGGGTTGACATCTAACCCTTTCCTTCCTTGTGAGAAGGCAGCGTCACTGCAGATGCCGGTTGCCCGATGGGAACACCTTACTGCTGTCACACCCTTCTACAGTCAGCGGTGATACTTAGCCCTCAGTTCTTGGGTTGCTGCTTTTAGTTCTCCAGTCGACCTGCCTGGTATGGTGGAACCTACAGTAACATATGTTCCAGCCTATATGGCTCGGTTGTGTCATCACGATAGGCAAGCCCGACCACCACGTCAAGGTAGCAGCTACGATCGCTCCAGAAGTATTTGTAGTGAAACGTTTGTGTGGGACCTAACAACCTCTATTAATTCTTGGCGCATTTGATAGTGCCGTTTCACTTTCGTACGGCTCTTTAACTTGATTGTTTAAAGTCTTCCTATTGCCTATCATCGATCTTGAGTTTTTAGAGGTATGAGGGCAATTATCACTTCCCGGTTGCCTACACAGAGGAAGTATTCTTCTGAAGGTACCTGAGAATGAAATCGTGTTAGGGGTAGTCCTAGTGACCTGAGAGCGTGACCGCAGTGCCCAAGGGACAACTGCTTGAGGTCGGCCACACACGACCTTTTTGTGAGTGTATTTCGTGTTAGCTCCGTACTTGTTGGGACCCTACCTCCGGAGACGGATATCCTTGGAATAAGGTGAGGTGTGCATTTTTAGAATCGGCCTTCAACCCCACCCTTCCTTTGTGGGGAGGCATCATCGCTGTTATGCTAGTTGTCTGAAGGGAATACCTTACTGTCGCCACAGCTCTGTACATTCAGACGTACGACTTCGTCCTCGGACCTTTGGATTGCTGCTTTCAATCTTGCCGCCCTTCAGTCTTATCTCTTTACCACCGACCTGTCAGGCATGGTAAGACCTTGATGAAGGATTGTTCCAGCCAGTATCGCTCGACTGGTTCATTACGATGGGCAAACCCGACCACCACGTCAAGCTTGCAGCTACGGTCGGTTTAGAAGTAAATAAACCTTGTGAAGGCTCTTTATTCGAACACTACCAGTTTAGTCAGAGCTTATAGCGAATTCTCAACTGATTTTGCGACCTCAAACGGTGTCCGTCAAGGCTGTCCACTATCTTCTTTTTTGTTTAACTTCATCATAGACCTAATGTTAGAAATAACGTTTTCGTCGACTGAATTTTCGGGCATTGTTCTATCAGGAGATCAAGTAAAATAAGATATTTAGGTTGGGAGGGAGAGCTAATTAACTCAACGAGAATAGGTCCGTTGCAGGATGAGAGCTATTAGAATGTCATTCAGTCAGCACATAAATGCATCCATCCAAGTTGCCACCCATTAGCACAACAAAATGAACGGCAAATTCATAGAAGCAATTCAACGGTATTAATATATAAAAAAGACCGCATATAAGAACGCGATCCAGAGAGAAAGAATTAGTTCGTAGAATAAAAATTATAAAGCAATTTAATGTCACGGTTTAAGGGAAGACAAAGAGTGTATGCACCGATTCATCGGTTCTGAGTCTCAACCATTGGTTACGATTGTCACACGGACCCCAACCAAGTAGTCTTCATCTACCAACATGGCTCAGACCAGAATTTAGTGACTTCAAGAACTGATGCCACGTTTTGGTTTGGCCGCCCCTAACTTTCTTCCAACCGTCTCCAACGCTTGTCAGTATTGTGCGTCGTGGTAATCAGTGGTTGAGGATGATTAATACGTGATCCAACCATCTCAATCGATGAAGATGTACATCATCAACTGATTTACCATCATTCCCTAATACCTTGAGTCTAACCTCATTTAATTACCCAGTGATTCCTGCAGATGCGAGTAATATTTCTAAGACATCTGTGACCAAATACTAGTAACTTACGAGTATCCTCTACCCTTAATGGCCACGCTTTACAGCTGTAAATTAAAATGGAACGAACTGCTGTGCAGTATTGGAAAAACAGAGATGATCGAATCGACCTTCTATTTGGATTCATTAAAGCGGTAGCTCAAAGTTTAAAATTTTCGATTTTTAGCTACTTAGTCTCAGGTTCTAATCTCACTCCACTTGCTTTGGTTTAGTAAACCAGACAGTGTCACTAGTCCTCACAGTTGTAATGTATTAATGAATCTGTACTTGTTATTAAGTTAGTAATATTAATGTTTTGATATCTTAAGTCCACTAAATTTATTATTTAAACCCTAAACGCACTGGTTTCTCGTTATTAGTTTCGTAACTATTCCCTATTCACTATTGCTCTTACCCAGATACCTATGGTGAGGAACACTTAGGTGACTTGGTTTTGTAGTTTTCGAGAATTTGGTTTACTCATTAATACAAATCAAAGTGTCACAATCGAATGCGAATAGCTGCTTGTCGACTTTTCATCTATACATCTTTTTAGTAGTTTTAAGTTACAAAAAAAGTTCATCGATGTCCACTTCCTTAGACAATTTCATGTCCTTTCTATGCTTTTCATATCTATATTTCCATTTCTAGGTCGCTTCCAAGGATGCTAGTGAAAAAACAGAAACAGACGATAAGACTTCACAAATGTTCTACTTTGATAACGAAAATCAATCTGCACTTATTTGTGCAATATGTTGGGATGTTATGACAGATTGGCGTCGATTACCATGTCGTCATGATTTCCACGAACACTGTCTTCGTGCTTGGCTTGAACAGAATCCAAGTTGTCCTACTTGTCGGCGTGATTTGGGCATACCTCCTATACTTCTTCACAATCATAACAGGACACAACGGTCGGAAAACGTAGCATTTGGTATGCTTGTTCGAAACTTGTTCAATAATGTTGGAAACGAAGGTCCAACTAATCGTAACGGAGTCAATAATGTACAGCCACTGATTACACCTCATAATGCAATTCAACCTGACCAAACGTCTGGCATTTCCAGGATGTTCGCTACGGCTGTAGGGTTAAATCTTGGATTAAGTATTGGTTCTGCCCCAGTTGTCGCTGCTGCCGCTCAAACGGCTGCACTAAATGCACTACCTCGTGAATCAGGCACACAAGGTTCTGTTGCTAGTATTTCTGGCTCACAGATTGAAGAAACACCAAATGTCCATACACAGAATGAGGGTAATTCATCTGTACGAGAAGCAACGCATAATGATGACCAAAATGTAAGTAGTTTTGATGTTGAAACTATCAGTAGTCGGTTTCTATTATTTTTCATAAGTTCTCAAATGCAACATTAATAGTTGTAAGTTCCCAAACCACATTTAGGTCTAATAGGTTGAAAAAGATTTAGTGGTTAAATAGTATTCGTCTTATTGCGATTTGTGGCATCCATTCTTGAGAGGCTTCCATGTTTATGCATCAGGAAAAATATGCATGCTGAGTAAATATTAATCATAACTTTTTTTCCAAGGATTATATAGCCAGAACTAAGTAATTAAAAGAAATATTTCAACTGTCGCGTTTTATCCAGTGTAGCTGTAAGATTTAGTTTTCGATATTTCTGTAATCTGATATACTACAGTCGAAATAAGATTGTGTGCAGTAATAAAATGTGCATATATATATAGTTGTCTTCATAAGTGTACGATCTATGAACCATGCTAGTATCCATTTCTTTGTGTTCTCTTGATGATACAGATTTCTAGAATGTATATCATACACCCAATCTATAAATCCTTTCAAACACTTAGATTTTGATGTCATTAACTTACCTTTCTATATGTTCTATAGGTAAAAATAATCTATTAATTAAAAGCTTGACTGAGCCATACCAATGTACAGTTACAGGAAATTTAGTTACAAACTATATGAGTCATAAAGTCTACAGATTTCACTCAGTAGGGTGTGCTTGTCATCTGATCTCATACTGGCGATGTAAGTGAAGTGGGCACCTTTTTTCATACTTAGTAACTTCATTCATCTTAACAAACATAAACCATGCATTTTTGTGGACCATAGGGATCATGAAAAGGGGATGTGGTAAAAGCTTTCGGGTAATGTGCTTTAAAAAAGGTTTGCTGTCTGTCTGTGCTACTATTCGCTCATATTTACCAAGTACTAAGGCGATTGGCTGATGGGATTTTAACGAGAAAAATAAAAAAAGCACTTATCTCTTTCAAAAAATTGGAGTAATCCCATATAGAACACTTCAAAATCTGTTTACGTGTCTGTAAAATAGTTTAAACTTATGAACTAATATTCTGTGAAATACGCTATTTTGGGTTACCTCCAGTTACTTTCAATATTTATACCGTAATTTAAGTAATTGGGCTGGCCGTCGTTTTGGAAAGACATAAAAGCCAAATAATCCTTGGCTATAAATATGAGTCCACTTTTCTTAAAATGGCAGGTAAGTGAGCGTACTTCCCAGATTACTAGGGTTGTTACTTTCTAATTTGATATTGCTGTATGTGCGTTACAAATCTGTAGCAAACAAATATGTTTCTCAATGTACCATAATATCTGTAGTTGGATACGATCTTCAAACTTTTCGTTAGGGATTGTTCTTTATGTTATTTTCACTCTTGAGTCCTGACTTAATTTCACTTTTGATGAGATGTACACGCACAACTTATACGATTCGAATTGTTTCTAAATACCAAATTTTAATTAAATTGTCTGTTTGTGGTAATTTTATTTCTGTTTAGTCCATTGCATTTGTAAAAGCTTAGTTCGGTCTTTAAAAAAGTTTACAAATGTTTATTGCTGCAAATATTTTTAACTTTTTTATTTGCCGATTGCATTCCTTCTTTTTTCAGTAAAATGTCTAAAAGTCCTTTTAATCACGATTACACGTGAACATTTCATGCCTTGGCCGTATACACACAGTCATTTCACTTAAAATGATCGATCTTTGAATTAATCATTGTCTTTCAAACACTATTGATTTGGGTAGTTTTACTGATATTTTATCGAGTCATCTGTATCTATTGTGTTTTTTATTTCCATGTAAAATCAGCAAACTGCTCCAGGAAATGAAGCTAGAGACCAAATTAGACGTAGATCTTTCCATTTTGATGGATCACGCTATTTCTCCTGGTTACCATCTTTACATGTTGAACTGTCTGAAGTAAGTTGTTTTGTGGGATAATTTATTTTATTAAATAATTAAATCAATTATATATCAAGCGGATAAATTCTTGGGTGCGGTAGATTCTTCTAAGATATGTAATACGGTAATATTTATCTTCATGTAAACGCTAAGAGTTGTCATTATATCTACAAAATAATTAAAGTTTTTCGAAGCTATATTAACCTCATTAATGATATATGTATTTATCGAATTTAGCAGAATGATGAATTAATTGTGGATTCTATTAGATATACACTGATGTTTACTTATCTTCAGCAGAATTGAATGCTACTTTGAGGTCACGAAATGCCACTATAATCGGATGTCAGTGAGTATTCCTGTTTTGTTTTGCTTTGAAACCTAACGAAAAGTAAATATTCGGTCAATACATCTACGTCCATATCTGAAATCATCCTGATTTTCATGCTATCATTGACGAATCCTAACCAAGCGTTGGATGATTATAGAGACAATCATTTTCCACGGTTATACTGATTCCTCTGTGATTATTGCAATAGTGTTTATATCCTTTCTTATAAATTGGAACGATCAGCGATTGAGACCAGTCCGATAGAATTACGTCCACCTCCCAGACTCTAGTATCTCAGTCAACTACCATTCGACTATCGTCCTTAAAGATCTCTAGAGTTAACGCGTAAGGATCTATTTCTCTTTCGCTTCCTAGATCAGTTATAACTTTTTTCAACCTCACCAAGAGTTGAAAAACTCGTATCGATTCCCCATTCATGTTGTTTAGAGATCCTGATTAACTTAATAGTCACTGGAGTTCAGATGATCTGTTTCTTAAACTGCCCTATTTATCGTCTTAATCTGCTAAACTGAAACTGAATATTATTGTTGTCTTCTCCCGAAATAGTTTCATTATTAGTTGCCTTTTTAATGCCTATTTCGTTGACGGGTCTGATGAGTTGTTTAGTGTTACGTATTGCCGAAGCATTTTTAGACCTCTGTGGTTCCCACCACTGGTCACGATCATTGCATAACAATTTTGTTCGTCTACGTTTAATCATTTTTCGTTCTTCAATGTTCATTAAGCCTTCTAGGATGAGTTTTCGAACATCTATTAATTCATTAGGTGGCATGTGAATGCACTGGTCTTTCCTAACCTTTTAATACAACTTAGTGACTAATATTTATTATTTATTTACAGTTGTTTGGTTATCGCGCCGAGTCCCTTCGTATTGAACCCCTTGATCAACCAAGTGTTGAACTACTTCATTCCTGAAATCATGTTCGAAATAAATTCTAAGGGGTCTCCTTGTTATGGCTTTTCTGTGTTCACTAAGACTCAATCAGAATTGTGCTCTCACTAGGGCATGGTCAGAGTTCAAGCATGTACTCTGGATGCATTGACAGTCTATATAAGGCCTCCAATGATGCCTTATGGTCGTATGATCTGTCTCCACCTTTGTGTTGAGATTAGGGGCTGGCAGATTAAAAGATATCTCTTCTGTTAAATTTTTTACTTGATAGGAATAAGCGATTGTCTAAGCATAATTACAGAAGACCGTCACCATTGTCTGTTTCGAGGCCTAGACCCCTTAAGACACACCTCTTTGTTTCACATTTTGACTTCGTTTACCGATCTGGGAGTTTAGATCACCTGCTACGACTACGTCTGAGGGTTTGGCTTTCAGAAAGAAGTCATAGTTTCATGTAAAATTCACCGTTTACTCCTTCGGATCTACAATCGGTAGCGGCATCAGTAAGAGCAACGAAAAAAACAACAGTTTATGACTTCATCTTTTCGAGTTCTTAGTGTGTTATTGAGCTGAACATCAGATAAGCTACGATCTACGGGAATCCTGCTGCTCACTGCCTTCTCGCGGCGGGGGTGTTGTTTACGAAATTGAGAGGACGAAAAGCGAATATCCAGCGCGTTAACCGGGTTGGTGGACATGGAGATTCCACCTAGGGAAGTTGAAAAACCCTGATTCCAAACCAATGGTGCACATGGGCTTCAGTACACTGAAGTAATAAATGGCGTATGAACCAATCGTTGTTCACCGGCTACCATGGGACTGCATCTCCTGACGTTGCTACACTGCCTTGTGGGTCAGACCTTAAGGTCAAAGGCTCCGGGTGTGGCCCCCTAAGAAAGCCACCTGCTTCGGTTCGGGCACCCGAGCAGTATCACACCCCTCACACAAATAAAATGAGATTTGTGTAGCGCATATGTATTTGGTGCCTCCTTGTACCAATATCTGTGTGTTAAAGTAATAAAAAATATCCACTTTGGGATCCTGTACACAACTAGTCGAGTGAGAGCTTATGGAGACCTGTAGCAAATCGTTCCATCCTACTTTATGACAGTGAAACATGACCGGTAAGAGTAGAGAATATTCGTATGTTACTAGTATTCGATCATAGATGTCTTCGGAACATCGCTCGTATATCCTGGGACCACCGAGTAAGTAACGAAGTTGTTAGGAAACGGGTACTAGGCAAGGATGGCAAATCAATTGATGACGTAGTGAAACTTCATCAGTTGAGATGGCTGGGACACGTGTTACGTATGTGCAACGACCGACTGCTCCGACGTGTGATGTTTTGTGAGAATATTTTCTCTTTATGGACCTGGAACAGAATTTGGATTTGGAATAGTCTTGAATACCCGGTGGCGTGACTAGTGCACAAAACTACTCACACACTGCTTCCGAGTAGTTTTGTTTGAACTAGGTCCTTAATTTTAAGGTCCCAACTGCCAGTGACCGAAATCCATGGGGCAAGTTGAGATGTGTTGCCCTTAGAGTTGATCTTCACAAACCCCCTCTTTTCATTGTGGGAAGACAACATAGCTGCAGATTCTGGTTGTTTGAGGGAAAGCAACATATTACTATCACACTCCCATACAGCTGGTAGTACGGCTACGCCCTCGGACCACAGGTTTGGTGTTTTTATTCTTACTACTTAACAATCAACATGACTATAACGGTAAGACCTAAATTAACGAATACTTGGTCAGTTTACTTCCATCGAACCATCATGATAATGCAAGCCCGACCATCATGTCAAGGTTTAAGCGACGGTTAGGATATTAGTTTACCATCTAATTAAGTGCTTTTCACGCTCTAATCATATGAGTTATGGTATTTTACTATTTTTGTGACACACAATTAGTGCAATGATTTTATAATAATAAGTGTTCATTTAGTTCTCGTCTAATTTAATCTGTTAGTCCGTTTTTCGAAGTCAACTTCAAATTTCTGATGCAACAAACTTGCTCAGCTACTATTGTGACAATAAAACAGCTTTCGGTCAGTATAGATAGCATATAATAAAAATTGTGATTCTTAAACCGGTTAACTGTTACCCAGTATTTTAGATTCTTGATTCTAAACGTTCAAGTAGTAAGTTCAGCTTCCTATCTACAAACCAAGATTTTAAGCAATTAAATTTTAGTGTCAGTACTTTTAAATTCAGTACGTGTCGTTTACAACTGATGCATGCAAAATCAACTCTACTTTGTTTTTCTTATGAAATCTATTAGCTAAGAATAAATTGTTGACGATTTCAAATATTATGGTAACTCTCTAGTTATCACTGTAGTTCATTAGAATTTTAGTAGATTGTAGCCAATCTGCTCTGAAAAAATCATCTATTGAACCATATAAATTTAATTGTACATATTTATTATTTTGGATTTGACAGACACTTTTTATTGCTACAGGTATTTCGTGAGGTATTTCATGTTGGTGGAATTCAACCCTACAGTGCAATTAACGAATTGAATAATCAAACAAATGGTCAACAAACGACAGGTTTTAATCATACTAATGTTCATAATTCTATGTTTAATGGGAATAGTGATTTGAATGTATTACCATTATATCTACGTTCTGCTGTTGAACAACTAACCAATATGTTCCCACAATTCCCACGTTCTGTGATAATTGCTGAGCTTTTAGCTACAGGCGTTCCAGATTTAGCAGCAGAAAATTTAATGGCTAGACCATCACCGATAACCCCTACTTCAAGCTCTAGTAACATGATTCCTACTACTAGTGCTATTGTAAATCAGAATGTAAGTCATATAATGATGCATGTCAGGTTTTTTTCGTGTGAAAATGCTGTTCTTTATTGTTTAACTATTTTTTATATGTTCGGCTTTTTTATTGTAAGTACTTTTAGTAATTATGATCGACTGAAAATCCATTCCTAAAAATTATAACCTTTGAAATATATTTAGTTCTAATTTTTTAATTTTAGTGTTAGATGGTAAAGAAAAGTTAGAAACCTCTTATAGTGTTGATCATAGTGGTTCAAAACAAAATCAGTCTTAATTGTCTTATAAATCTGTAACATTATCACCGTATCTTCACTACTTCCTTTGATCCATATTGCTGTTGGTTTTCTCTTTTTTGTTAAGAAATGTTGAGACCTCAGCATATGAATAGGTTATAAACCCATTATGTATGCTTGTCACCATCAGTTTTTGTAGTTGACTTCATCTACATGTAACTCACCAAACGCTTCAAATCAGTAGTCAATAGCTTTGTCGATTAATTACTTTTATTCAATCCAACTACATATTTTATTTGGGATCATCAGTGAATATCAGGACAAACTGCTTTTCGTTTTCAGGCTACGTGGTAGTTAACTGTTCTCAGTACGACGATACATTGAAAATTTTATCTTAACGATATACAGTTCACCTTATTTGGTCAGTGGAATATAATTGTCACATTGAACGAAGTTCATATCTGTTATCCTGGTCTAAATTGATACAAAAAGTATTGACCTATCTTATCTCATCATATTTATCTGTACGTAGACTACTTCTGTATCATATATGCTGCGAGTACCTTAGGTAATTTAGCTTTGATGCTTTTGAGTTTGGCCTTAGTAAATTAATCTAAATTGAATGCATGCTACAACGATATTTGACGTGAAGTCTTTACAAAGATGGGGAGGTGTTTCCAAACCACCTGTAGTCAGAGAGTACTCGTTGCATGTTTATATTCATCCTTTATTATTTTAAATCTATATAGTAAAACGAGTTACTCAGGAAACTTGATGCGTGAAAGCAGTTGTTATGTACTGAACGAGCACAGATGGAGAAGACCAATTTATCGTTTAGCATAAAATTACAGTGTCTTCATAAATTATGAAAACCATACAGTAGACACATCATTTGCACATCTTTCACTTATTTCTTGCAAACTTCGTTGTTCTTTCATTCCTGTTGTTATTTTGTTAGCTCTCAGTTTCCTTCTCTCTCCTCTTCGTTTCAATCTTGTCAGCCTTCGGTTTTCAGGCATTCCACTTCCGATTGGTGTTACATATTACTTATATCTGCAAACATAAGTAACATACACCATATTTATCTCTTGATTTTCGGTTTTTCTTTACCAATAAATATTATTACCGTTGTCGACGTGACTGCTTAACATATGCTGTCATATTAGTGAAATATGTAGTAATTTGGTCGAAACTTCACATGAGATACGCTAAATATTTAGTAATCATCCATATTACTTCGATCCAGCATGTTAAAATGCAAAATTTTGGTCGTGATGAAATTTAAAATATACCACTGTCCGTGATACGCACTTTTTATAAGATATCATTTGGCCCTAATAGTTCATGCAGAGTTTAAGTTACTATTCAATGTCATATATTGATTTGAGATTTGCAAGTAAAATTAAGTATACATCGACTAAAATTTTGTCTGTAATTTTACATCCTAACCAAACTAAGCATCCAAAGACCGTACATTACCCCTCTCCTTTCTTAAATTTATTGTTTATTGGTTTAATTGTTACGATTCCAATTTGTTTGTAACACCGTGTTTTATATTGGACACGTATCTCATATTATGGTATGTGCAACTGATGTCGGCAGATGTAAGTAGTATGTATCATCAATCAAAAGTGAAGTGCCTGGCAGCAGAAGGTTAAGAAGATTTAAGAAGAGAGAGCGAATGGTGTGGAAACGAAAGAACACTGAAGTCTGAAACGGTTGATTAACATTTTGCAAATGAAGTATTTATTGTACAGTTCTCAGATTTTACTAAGACGCTCTGTAATTTTGTATTCAAATACATCCGATTGTCCCCGCTTGTGTTCTCGTTCACTACGATATCAGTGGGATTTATTGAGGAAATTTGAACTAATTAAAAGAAATAAATAAGTTGTCAGCTTAAGATATGGAGCAACAAAATCGAAAACTAAAACTCCGACAGATATGATTCACGATTATAGTTAGTTGTGATCAAGTAGTATTTTCCTCATTCTAACTATCTATTCCATTGTTCGGCTTGCAAGTAACTTCACTCTTTGTTATCCCTAAGATCCTAATTATCTTGATTATTTTCCAGATTTTCCCGAATTGTATCCTCTATACCTAATCTTTTCTAATATAACTAAGGTTGTTACTACTTATACTACTCTGGTATCTTACTGTGGCGATGTGGTGTGACACTTTGAACCGATTCTCATATTTCCCAGGCTCTACATTGCGTATAACTGACTGGCTTAACTTGATATGCTTAGTCTAGCTATGCTAATAAACATTTTAGTTAGTGATTTTAATGCACTACAAAATTAGTCAATAAAAGAGAAGTAGATCCATAAATAATTGCTCCATCTTCTGAAATCCATTTCAAGAACTTATGAGCAATATACAATCCTTTTTAAGGATTTCATCTATCATTTATAGATTACCCTGTGAGAAATACTTCCTTTTATCTGACGCTTGGTTTCACGTGAAAAAAACTCGTGGAGACCAGGTCTGTCTGACACGCGGAAGTGAATATACTGGTCAGATGTTCACCCCTCAACAGGTTTTGAAACGTAAGCAAAATGATATAAACCCAACTAAAGTTCAATTACCTGACCTTGAGACAGCATTCGACTCCATCAGCCGAGACATTTTGTGACTGGGTTTATCATCGTAAAATTTTATCGATAAAGCCCACAAACCCGGATAATAGTTCGAATCAGAGTTCATCGTGAACTGTCATCAAAATCATCAACTACTTCAGGTCTGGCCACAATCCTTTTTATCTAATTTTACCATGGATGTCCCCTTAGAAACCACACTTTACCTAACTTTTCGAAAATTGATCTGTCAGGAGGTCTACTTTATTGGGTTAGAATACCAAAATGACAATTTGGTGAAGACTTAGGAAATGCAGTTTTTTTTATCACTTTAAAGCAGCAATTTAAGCGTGTTTAGATCACGTTTATCTCCCCCCTAACTGCAAATATTGCTTGAATACTGGCCTCTGTCATCGCCTAGATTGATAATAGGGGGCGAATCAATTGACTTTTGATCGTTTTATTTATCTAGGATATCTCAACAGCCATGATAGATTGGTGTCTGACGAAATCGTGACATGGATTCAATAAGCCAAATGACTGGCTTTTTTCAAACTGAGTCATTTATGGAGTTGGTGAGATATCTGTCTGCCAACCAAGTGGCGATTTAACTGTACAGCAGTCCATTTTGTATTACTATATGTTTGTGAAACATGGACCATAGAAACAGAAGACATTCGTAGGCTGCAGACTTTTGACTATAGATGTCTTGAATGCATCCCCTGAATATATTGTCGCGACAAAGTGAAAAAAATGCTAAGGCTAATCCTAGGGTCCCGACCGAAGGTGCTACTTTGACGCGGTGGTCGGGCTTACCTATCATGATGACCCAACCGAGTTACATTGGCTGGAACATATGTCCCTGTAGGTTCTACCATGCCAGGAAGGTCGATTGGAGAACAGTAAGACTAAAAGCAGCAACTCAAGGTCTGGGGGTGAAGTCGTACTGCTGACCGTAGAGGGGTGTGACAGCAGTAAAGTGTTTCCCTCGGACAACCAGCATCTGCAGCGACGCTGCCTTCCCACAAGGAGGGGTGGGGTTAGAAAAGGTTGACCCTAAAAATGTCACACCTCGCCTTACCTCACGGGTTTCCGTATCTGGCGGTAAGGCCGTACGCGACCGGCCTCAAGCAGTTGTCCCTTGGGCTCTTCAGTCACGCTCCCAGGTCGTTAAGACCAACACTAATCCGACTTCTTTTTCAGGTTCGTCAAGTAATACCCTTCCACGATGTGGGCAGCCGGGAAGTGATATCAGCCCTTATACCCGTAACAGCACACGAGACCATGTTGGTCACATTCAAATCCTTCCTACAACTCCTAATACCTCTCTTATCTCAATGACTAACCCTCCTCACGTCTCTTTATCACCTCACACTGCTAGGACAAACGATTCGTGTACGCGGAACGTTATTCCTGGTCTCCTGAAACCACGCTCTAAACTACACGTGAGAGCTTTTAACGTCCGAACACTGTGCCAAATAGGACAGCAGGCTTCCTTAGCTAAGAATTTAGAATCCCGCGCCATCGATGTGTGCTGCGTCTCCGAAACGCGCATACAGGATCCGAGTAGCGTCATTCATTTGACCTCACCATGCCAAAATAAAGAACCGACTCGATTTACACTTCGTGTATCTGGAAGCCCAGATTCTGCTTCCCGTGGCCTCGCCGGCGTAGGTATAGCATTGAGTCCTAGGGCAGAACTAGCTCTCTTAGAGGGGATCCCAGTAGACAGTCGTTTGTGCGCTGTCCGACTGAACGAAACAGTAAGAATCCGGAAAGATAGGGACACTTGTCATTGCCTCTTCGTCGTCTCTGCCTATTCTCCCACGAACTACAGCGCAGATGATGTAAAAGATGAGTTTTACAGAAAGCTCTCCGACCTTCTCCGAAAAGCTAGGCGCTCGGATGTAGTAATAATGGCCGGTGACTTTAATGCTCAAGTAGGTAAACTAAGCGATCGGGAAAGACACCTAGGTGGATCTTATGGTGTCGTGGCTCAAAGAACAGATAATGGCGACCGTCTGTTGCAGCTATGCTCAGATAACCGCCTGTTCCTTGCAAGTACTAACTTTAAGCATAAAGAAAAACATCTTTTAACATGGTGACCCCCAAATTCGTCCCAACGTTGAACCCAAATAGATCACATCGCTATCAGCCACCGATAGAGGGGCTCGATAGAAGACTGTCACTCATTCTGGAGCACATGCTTAGATTCAGATCATGCTCTAGTACGAGCGCGTATCTGTCTGCGTCTTACTGGACGTAGGAAAGACGCTGCAAGTAAACCTCTTAGTGTTCTACTTAATGATAGTCAAGCTAAGAGTATATTTCAGGAACAACTAGGAAAACAGTTAGGCAGCCATGTATGTGATGCCTACCACGAAGCAGCATGGAATGATATCCGAAAAGCTGTGGAAACAGCAAGGTAAACCATAAGGTTAGAGAGCAACACTGGATCTCAGCAGCATCTATCGCACTGATAGATGCTCGGAAACTCATTCCACCCGGCTCTGAACATAATGAAGAGCGGAGTCAGCTTAAGCGCAAGCTGACAAGAAGTCTACGCAATGATTGCGAACAGTGGTGGGTAGCGAAAGCAAGAGAGATGGAAAAGGCAGCGGCAATAGGTAATAGCAGACAATTGTTCAGACTTGTTAAGGAAACCGACTGTTAGCGAAACAATCTCAGAGAAAGATGGACATATCATACATTCTCAATCCAGGAGATTGGATGAATGGGCAGAACACTTTAGGGATCAGTTCAACTGGCCTTCAGCCACACTTCGGTTTTCCACAATCTCCAGTCAACCTGAATGGGAAGTTAATGTAGGTCCTCCGTCCCTTTACGAAGTTGAAAAAGCTATAGGAAATCTGAAACGAGGGAGAGCAGCAGGCTCTGACAGGTTTACTCCTGAGATTTTTAAGGATGGTGGTTCAGTATTAGCAGTGAGATTAACTGAGGTCTTAGGTAGAATTTGGGAACTGGACGTAATCCCATCTGATTGGTCTCAATCACTGATTGTGCCAGTCTATAAGAAAGGACAAAAGTCCTCTTGTGACAATCACAGAAGAATCAGTTTGACTAATATTGTGTCTAAAATATTAGCTTCAATAATACTTCGACGCCTAACTAAAGCTCATAAAGAGCAGACTAGAGAAAATCAGGCTGGTTTTCGACCTGGACGTGGTTGTATAGATCAGATATTCACACTACGTCAGGTTCTAGAACACAGACACACATTCAGACGCCCCACAATGGTAGTATTTCCCCTTCGAAATGCAAGATGTTACTTCAGGATTGGGTTGCATTGACACTCGAACTGATTGAGCGTGTCGATCGCTTCACTTATCTTGGAAGTCTCATCAGCCCTTGAAGTCTGGTGTGTGACGAAGTCTCAGCACGGATACAGAAGGCTCGACTAGCTTTTACCAACTTGCGTCATTCATGGTGTACGCGAGATATCCCTCCACCAACCAAAGGACGGGTTTACTGTGCAGCAGTTCGTTCCATTCCACTTTATGGCTGTGAAACATGGCCGGTAAGAGTAGAGGATATTCGTAGGTTACTAGTATTTGACTATAGGTGTCTTCGAAATATTGCTCGTATATCCTGGGACCATCGAGTAAGTAACGCAGTTGTTAGGAAACGGGTGCTAGGTAAGGATGGCAAACCAATCGATGACGTAGTGAAACTTCATCAGTTGAGATGGCTGGGACACGTGTTACGTATGTGCAACGACCGACTGCCTCGACGTGTGATGTTTTGTGGTGTAGGAGTAGGTTGGAAGAAAGCTAGGGGCGGCCAGACCAAAACATGGCACAAGTCCATGAAGTCACTGACAAGTGGACTGAGTCATGTTGGTAGATGTAGACTACCTGGTTGGGGACCGCGAGATGACAGCAACCGATGGTTAGAGACCCTGAATGACATGGCTCAAAATCGTTTGCACTGGCGCAGGTGCATCCACTCTCTGTGTTCTCCCAAATTCTAATCTTCTGAATTCTTCATGTCCCTTTCTGTTTTCTCTTTCCAAATTTATTTCACTGTATTATACTCTTTAAATAATATGTTCAAACACTAATTTTCCCGATTACTACTTATACTCTTATTACCTCTACCACTACGGGTTTTGAATCGGCCACTACATCTGTGTGCTAATGTGGTGTGGCAACTCGAACTGATGTACGTACGTACGAATTTCTATGTTGTTACTGACTGACTGAGGGTCCTATGTAAAGTTGTCGAATGAGTTGATGAGGCCATGAGATCTGACTCAGTGTGATGGTTGGGATATAGTTCACGTAAACCTAACCACCACTTACCTCGACGGGTGGTGTTTTGTATTGTAGAAGTTGAGATAGTGAAGATTTGTAGCTCAAGTGGATAATTCAGTTTGTTCTACCTCAAGTTTGTGCTGAGGATATCGTTCGGAAGAACATTAAAAACTCCACGACCAAACCATCGGGCTCAAAGAACAAAACACAAAAATTGTAGGAGTTGGTTTGGAAGGAAGCTAGGTGCACTCAAACTAGGACATGGCAGTAGTTCATATAATCATTGACTGTTATTCTGAGAAGTAGTCGTGATCAGTGGTTGTAGACTTTAACTGATGTCACTCAGAATTCTCAGTGGGCATAAATGCATTCATCCCTCATCTCATCTTAATTCCTTAACCTCAATATCACATAGTTCTTGTTTCTCAAGTTTATTCCGTTTGGAACCACATTCTCTATTTCCAGTCATTTTTTGTTCTCAGTAATACTATGTCTAATTCCTCAGTATTTATCTTAATAAGTTTATTTTCTGTCCTTTTATTGTGTGGTGACTTGGGTCTATGCATATCTGTCTTGATTCCTACGTATCTTTCATACACATAGTTCTCTTTATTATTTTGAAGAGAGCAAGAACAAAGATTAGTGCTGCACCAAACTTTGTTCTTTCTCTCCTACATATCTATTGACTCATTACCCAAACAGGTGCTTGTACTCATTTTTCACTGTTACTTTAAACCTACGGGACACGATTCGACTTCTTGTAAGTAACAAATTTTATTCACTTCATGCAAATAATCAGGTGTGATTGATAAGTAATAAAGAAATGGGGAATAATTATTCCGTCTTCAAGACTGACTAGTAGTGCTACTGACGTATAACTTGATTTCGATCAAAAGATTTGGTGTCAGCTAATTATTTTCTATGTGTACTAATCGTATTCTGTGAATCTTATGGTTACTATATTCGTCGTACATGGTGCGACATGATATTTTTTAAAAAACTTTATCTTGTGTAAATCCATCCCTATCACTACTTGCTTTTTTCCTTGTCAGAATTTATTCAACGTAACAACTAATATAAACCGTGAAGCTGAAGATACCTATCAATTTACACCATCCAGTCCTCCTTCCTTATTAATTGAACAACTGGGTACAGCAGATGGTGATGAAGGTGAAGATGAAGTACTAAATGGTGACAGAAATTCATCTTTCGCTGCCAGGCGTAAGGCAATGTTATGCAAAGCCAGAAAACGTTTTATAGCAAGAATTAATAATTCTTAGTTAATATTTTTTCGTTTATTTATCTTCTCATTATTGCACATTATTAATTTACGTACCCGAAATATGGCTTTCGTCTTGTATTATTATCATTACTATCACTAATAGTGCCACATCTTTATTGTAGTTATTCATTATAATTGCCTCTGATTGATTTCACATCAGTTTAGGATACCCCTTAATTTTTTTCCTTTCTTTTTCTTTGCACATAAATCATTATTAATTTAACCCGTCGCCTTGGTGTTGTTTTTTTTTCCTGCAAATATCGTTATAAGTGTGAAAATTCAAATTAGTGTTTAACCGTACTTGGTGCATGTAGGTATGTGTAAGTGTATCCTCTTATGGCATTACTAGTAAAATAAAAGTTTAAAAAAA